ACTGGCGAACATGTGCATGAATGGGGTCTTCTTGGCGTCCAATCTCCAGACGACAGCGTTGAAAGCACTCTGCAAAGACTTGTAGAAAGAAGCGTACAAGGCGACCTTCTTTGGGTTGTTGGAGAAAGTACCCAAGATCCAGAAAATGTAGGCCTGGAAAATGGCATCGAAAGCTCCGTAGCACATGTACAAGAACATAGGGCCAATGTAGTAGCTGTCGTGGAAGTCAATGAGAGGCTCGTCGTCGACGTTTTCTCTGGTAACACCCAACTGGAACTTCAAACCACCACCCCAGGTAGCCATACCGAAGAGGAAAATGACAGTCCAGCCAATTCTGGCACGGTTTGGTCTGTTGAATCTCTTCCAGTCCAACAAGAAACCAATCACAATAGCACCAACCATCTGGGTAAGCCAGTAAAGCAAACCGTTCAAAGATCTGGTTCTGACGTTGAAACGTGCGGCATTGAAGTTGTTGAATTGGTAGGTGTAGAACCAGTTGGAAGCACAGAACATGGGGAACATGAAGTAGATCTTCAAGTCTGTCTTCAAAACCTTCCACATACCCTTGAGCTCGTGAGTGATCTTTGGGTACTTCTTGGCAATCACCTTGGTACCATCGGCCTTGTAGACCTTGTCCATTGGAAGCAAGAACCCAGCCAAAACGACACCAGCAGCCATCAAGACCATGAAAGCAACGTACGTGCCAGCGTTGACGTGCTCCTCACCGGTAGTCATGTTCTGAGCTAAAGGAATGATAGAGCCAATGACGGCACCAAAGTTGAAGATGACCCAGTAAACCATGATAGCAGTGGCTTTTCTGTGTTCAAGGGCATAAGACATGACAATGGAACCCTGGGCAGCCCAGGTCAATGCAGCACAGACACCCAAGTAGGCACCAGCGAAAACAGGGAAACCTTTGTTACCAGTCTCACGAAAGACTAAAAGCGAGGCGGTGTACATGATGTAACCAGTACCACCAAACATAAGACAGGCCTTAACACCGATAGTGTTACAGATAACACCACCAAAAGCACCAATGGTAGCGAAACAGGAGTACAAGGCGACGTTGGCATTGTCAGCGACCTTGGGGTCGGAGATACCCGAGTTACCAATACCGGTGATGGCGTTGAAACAACCTGGGGTCAAGAAGATAACGAACGACATGACAATGATCTGAACGAAGGAGTTGGAGTAAGGTGGGAGGCCGGGGATGATTCTCTTGTGGTACCACAAGCCAGAGTTTTCCAACTCTTTCAAGTCGTGGTGAACCAACTCAACATGCTTTTCGTGGTGGTGCTCCTCTTCGTGCTCAACCTCGGCCTTAAAGTCGGAGGACTGGTTGGTCTCAGACCCTTGGGGCGACAGTTCTATGTCGATGGCTTCGTTGGATTTGTTAGACGAGGCAGTCATGATGGAGTTGTCTACAGAAAAAAAAAAAAGTGTAAACTACGCTCGGGGTCCAGGGGTATTTATGGATTGATAATGGGTCCGAAAAAGATAAAGAAGTACGGCCCCAGTATCTCAGTGCTGCACGTAGGCGTTGCAGCGGCGCCGCCATGTTACATTTTTCGCAGCCAACCCATACACAGAGCGGCAACCCTGAGCGTACGGGCTGATTCAAGAAAATCTAGAAAATAAAACGCAGATCCCCATACTAGCCGTGCGGGTGTGGGGCAGCTTTAAGAAGGTCCCCCACCATCTACTGATCCAAGGCTGAAACTACAGAGTCCGATTCAAATTACCATCTGGCATCCCTGAAGAGTCACAAAGCAAGCCAGCGTGAGGATCTGGGACAAATGCGCGTAGAACGTTTTGAACACCGGCCTAGGGCACGATGCACCCCACAAGTCCGGGGTTCTGGAGAAAATGCAACCTGGTGTTGCAATCCGGGGTGTTAGCCGTGGTGATGAGCTCAGCAGTTGTCATGTTGCAATAAGTGTCAATGTGTGTCTTGGTCTCTGCAGGGTTTCACGGCGCTGTGTGGAGTATACTCCATTGTCGCGTGTGGGGTATCCGTGTGCTGCGCAGGCGTATATGTGCATACACAAGGTTAGGCTACATTTTTTTTTGCAACCACTTCAACGGTGGTCCGAGGTGGCACTATTAGGTAATACTTTTATTATTTGGTAGTGAAATTCCACGTCTCATATTTCTGCACATCGGCTACCCTCTCGAGAGCACCTCCGCGCTGATAGCCGCTCACCCCGCCGCCGCAGACTTAAAATGTGGGCCGAGAAATGCAACCTGGAAGCTTGTCCATGTTACACTGTCTCGGAGCCAAGGCGAGGTTTTTTTTCTTCTAGTCAGCAATCCATCGGTTGTTGGGCCTGTTTGGCGATCGTAGGCCAAACCTAATTGGCCTGATACTCCTGGCCAATCGCCACAATGTTCTCCACAAGGTCATCTACCACCTTATCAGTGAGAATGGGCAGGTTGAACACCACCCGGAAAAACTCGCCCTTGGCATCATTCGACGTGTCAGGCAGGAAGTCCACAAGATACTTGCCTCTCTTATGGAGCTCCCTTGACACATAACGGGTGACATCGGTAAAGCTGGTTTTCTCGTAACCCTTTGGACGGTAAAAAAAGCACACCTGCAAGCACTGAGGCAGGTCAACCACCAACTCAAACCCTGGCAACAGAGCAATTTTTTCTTTAAAGTAGTCCACAATAGCAAAGGCATGGTCGACTCGGCCCCGCAAGCCGTCTTCGCCGTAGTACAACCATGTCAAGTAAAACTTAAATGAGTCGGCTCTTCTGCCGCATCCCATGGTTCCATCGGCCAAGTCGTGATTTTCCTCGTCATTGTCTCTTCCGTGAAACAAGTACGGAGCGCTGAGAGAGTTTGCCGTTTGGAAATGACGCACATCTTGCACAAGCAAAAACGAACAAGTGGTTGGTGTGCCTAGCATCTTGTGAGGATTCACGGTGACGGAGTCGGCATGCTTGACGCCAGCAAGCTTTTGCTTGTGCGTTTCCGAAAACACGACGTTACCTCCCCAGGAGCCGTCTACGTGGAGCCACAAGTTGTGTTTTTTCGCAATTGGACCAATGGCGTTCAAATCATCGAACGATCCAAAGACGGTAGTACCTGCGGTGGCGTTAATGAAAAATGGCGTGTAGCCATCTTTCTTAGCCTTTTCAATGGCATCGTCAAGAGCATCTGGCTTCATTGTGCCATCTTTGTTTATGTCAACCTTGAAGACGCTTTTCTGGCCCATACCTAGTAAAATGGCAGCTTTCTCCACAGAGTAATGGCAATGCTTTGATGTGAACACGGCAAACTTACGACCGGCGTTTCCTTCGAGTTTGGTTTCGGGGAACTTGAGAGATCTGGCCATGTGCATTGCTGTAATGTTGGACCAGGATCCACCAGAGAAGGTGAGTCCTCCGACTCTCTCACCATCTTCCCAAAAGAAGCGGGCATACTTCTTACCCATGTAGTTCTCCAACACGGAGAGTACCGGAGAGACGGTATAAACGTGGGAGTTGGTGTTCAACACAGACAAGATGATATCACTAATAACACCTATGGGGTTAGTGGAAGCATACAACTTGTCCAAGAACCCAGGGTTCCAGGTGTTAACGGAGTATTTGAGAACATTGTCGATCTGCTCAAAGAGCTCGGTCTGCGAGTGTCTCAATCCCTTCTTGAATATCTCGTCGTTGCCAGTGAATACCTTCTTCAACGACTGCGGCTCATGGTAAGTACCTAAGGATTCTTGCTTGTAATCCGGGGAATTCGGGTCAGCCAGAGCGACGTATTGGACAATTTTGGGATGAATGATGGAGAGGAGCTGGTCCAACTCCTGTACTCTATTCAGCTCTAGGTCAGATTCTATAGCCATGGTGGTGTGGTTGCAAAAAGGAAGAAAGTAATTTTCAGTGCGAGTCGAAACTTAATTAGCCATAGTGTGTCAATCTACTACTTCACCGCGAATCAAAAGCCCTGACAAGCTTGTGCAAAGCGCAATACCAGTGCGAGATTTTGGTCATGTGCTATTTCGTGAAACAGTTTTATGATTATGCTAAGATTTACATTCCATAGCCCAGGAGCATATGAATGGTGATCCTGTCAAATGCGTATATACCTTCCTCGGTGCTCTTGGAGCACATGCCTATTTACATTAGCTTTCTTGCAAGCTAACTTATTTACATTAGCTTTCTTGCAAGCTATCTTCCTTGGCTTCTCTCAGCCTAGCAAGGTTCTTGTTGAGCCTTTCAAGCTTCCTCATCTCCTCACGAGGGTCAAAGTCACCGCTGGAAAGCTTCTCGTAGGTATCGTCGTATTTACCCGTGGACAATGGGGCATTTCCTCTCATTCTTTTTCTCATATCAAAGAAGCCGTTCTTACATTCGATGAAGGCTCTGAAGTTGGCAGCACAGAGTTCGGGTAGATCCTTCCGAAGCTCTGGGTCCGTAAGACACTCTTTTGGGGAATGCCTCTGAATGAGCACACAAGGTGACCTTTGAAGACAAATGGCTAGCGCCTTTTTTTGGTCTTTACAGCTGTGTGTTAGAGTGTTTCAAAGAAGATCATGTTTCGTAGTACTTACCTAGCACCCATATTGTTACTTTCGGATGATTAGAGATCACACCATCTAGTGATGGTATCACCAAACCCGTACACCTCAAGTTCCGTCAACGGTTTCAATGTCCTTACAGTGGCGATGAAGGCTGCCGTGACAACCTTTTGATAGAATACTGTAGTGAGGCATAATACATTCATACGAATCATATTTGAGAAATGGTCTCGTACCGACGGGACGTGTATTCCTCATTGGTGTAATCCTTTAGTAGAGCTAATTCTAAGACATACTCCAAAGCAGGCCCCGGTGGTAAGCAGCAGGTAGTTAAAATAACAAGAAGCGCTACTTCTTTTCAAATGGCATCTTTTGTGTATCTAGTAGAAACACCATCAGCTTGTGGTTTTAGCAGCCGTGTGTACACTCCGCGAAGAGCTCGATTATCAAGCACCAAATAAGTATCGAGCAGATAGCATGATTCCAGACGATTCCTTGTACCTATATAATCTAACGCTCAAGCAGCCATCACTGCCGTTCAAGTCAATTGTTGGTCAGTTCTCTGGATCCAAGAAACAACAGGAACTTGTGCTCATATCAAGCACCGTCATTGAGGTTTATCAACCAAAGCCAGATACTGGCAAGCTACATAAGCTCTCGCTGCAGCCAACGTTTGGAATAGTACAGAATGCCGATAAATTGAGACTCTTCGGGACTCAGCAAGATGTTCTCGTGCTCACGGCAGACTCTGGCAATATCATTATCGCTTACTACAATCAAGACACCTTCAAGTTTGAGCCTCGTATTCAAGAACCACACTCGAAAAATGGACTCCGACGTCTTACTCCAGGTGAGTATTTGGCATGCGATCCCCAGAATAGAGCAATTATGATTGGTGCCCTCGAACGGACAAAGTTCGTTTACAAGGTCGAGATGGACAACTCCACAGGTCAGATAAAGCTCTCTTCGCCTTTGGAGAGTCATGCCACTGGCTCCCTCACGCTAGCACTTTGCTCTCTAGATACAAGCTTCGACAACCCAGTGTGGGCCACAATTGAGGTGGACTATAAAGACTACGATGATAAGACGTACAAGCCCGATGAAAGTCCACTTTATCTCAGGTACTATGAATTCGACCAGGGACTTAACCATATTGTTCAGAAGAAAAGTAAGGCTCCGCTTCCTCCCGACGCGAGCTCTCTTATTGCATTACCTGGTCATATCGGAGGTGTGTTGATTGTCTGTGACTCTGTCATTATTTACGAGAAAGGCCTAGGTCATGAAAGGCTTTATCTCCCTCTCCCAATAAGAGAAGGCTCCAAAAGTACCACCATTGTCTGCCATTATTTGCATGTCCTCAAGAAGACCGACTTTTTCATTCTTTTACAAAGTTCCTTGGGTGACCTTTTTAAACTTACCTTCGATTACGACAGAGAAACCGAACACCTCGATAGAATTGCGGCTACATACTTTGATTCTACGCCTGTCTCCAACAGCATCAACATCTTCAGATCAGGATTTATGTTTGCTAATGTCGCTAATGATAGTAAGCTCTTCTACCAGTTCGAGCAATTGGGGTCCGAAAATGAAACGACCATGGCCTCCGAAAATATACTACCCGATATCCAACACTCGACTAGATTCTCGCCACAAGGTCTAAACAACTTGGCATTGGTCGATATTCTTGAATCTCTCGGACCAATCGTTGGTTCAGAGTTAATGGGGAAGAAGACCGGTAATAACGCAGAGGGGCCAATTCTGCTTAGTACGCTTTCTTCGCATTCATATTTGAAGACTTTGACATACGGTATTCCAGTGTCTGAGCTTGTGTCATCTCCCTTACCTATGTTACCGACCCTGATTCACACCACCAAAAAAGTACGCACATCTATAAGTGACGATTATTTGGTGCTTTCATCCTCACTCGCCTCTCAAACTTTGGTTCTTTCTATCGGAGAGGTTGTCGAGGAGGTGAGTAAATCAGGATTCGTAACAGACCAACATACGATCGCAGTGCAACAGGTCGGTAAGCAATCTGTGGTCCAGATCCATACCAATGGTATTCGCCATGTAAGGCACATCCTTGACGAAAATAATGAGGTCACAGACAGAAAAACCACTGATTGGTTTCCTCCTGCCGGTATTCATGTTGTGCATGCCAGTGCCAACGAAGCTCAAGTCCTCGTTGGTCTTTCTAATCGTGAGCTTTGTTACTTTGAGATAGATATAGCGGACGACCAACTAGGTGAGTATCAAGAGAGACACGAGATTGGTGCAGATCTCATCACTGCCGTTGCCATAATGAGTGATACAACTTCAATGAAGAGTGACTTCGCAATTGTCGGTTGTGCCGATGAGACAATACAGGTGTTGTCTTTACACCCAAATAGCGTCTTCCAGATGCTTTCATTACAGGCACTTTCTTCAAAGTGTACCTCACTCTTGATGCTACCCGTTGAAGACAATAGTGCTCATATACACATTGGTATGGAAAGTGGAGTGTACGCTAGAGTACAGATGGACACCATGACAGGCAAGCTTCGTGACACAAGACTGAAATACCTTGGTACGAAACCTGTAATTGTCAGCAAACTTAAATTGCCTGGGCTGGAGCTGTCAGGAATTATGGCAATAAGTTCCTACCCCTGGATTGGTTATCACAACAGTGAGAGTCAATTTAAAATTATGCCATTAATTGGTTCCGAAGTTACGAGCGGCCTGTCGTTCTATTCTGAGGACATTGGTACTGAGAGCGTTGTTGGTATCAAAGAGAACAATTTAATAATTTTCACAATTGGAAGCGAAGAAGGTGGATTCAATATCAATGATGAGTTCTCATTGAGCCTGATAAAACTAAGATTTCAGCCCAGAAAATATTGGAAGGATCACAAGAGCAACAATCTTGTGATTCTCGAGTCAGAGGCAAGCACGGTCTCTCCTTATATCGAAGAGGAGGAAGTGGATGAGGATTATTACCACGCTTTCGGTTATAAACGTTCCAGCGGCTCTTGGGCCTCCTGTTTGCAAGTTGTTGACTACGATACATCAGAGATTTCCCAAACCATCGATTTCAACGATAATGATTGTTTCACCTCCATATGTGCTGCAACGTTTAATGATGAGGAATATTTGGTGAGTGCATCTTCACAAAATCTCTCAATAGAGAGAAATTCAGCTTTATCCCATCACATACATGTGTTCAAGATAAAACGACTGAAAGCAAGAGCCATAAAGTTGGAGTTTGTTCACAAGACAAAGGTAGACGGGGCTGTAACTGCCATGGTAGGGTTCCAAAAAAAGCTTCTCGTTGGTATTGGAAGCTCCCTTAGACTTCTTGAATTGGGCCAAAAGCAAATGCTTAGGAAATCACACACCAAGATCGATTATCTTCGTCGCCCTACTCTGCTAGAGTATCTCGGAGGAGATTTGGTGGTGCTTGCTGATTCTAGCGAGTCGTTGTCATATTTGAAGTTCGATAGAGCACTGAACCAGTTTGTGCCTATTTGCAATGATACCATGAGAAGACAAATCACAGCTTTTGAAACACTTGATCACAGGACTCTTGTCGCAGGTGACAAGTTCGGCAACATATCTGTCAACCGTCTCCCCTTAGAGCTCACCAATCAGCTTGCAAATAACGCTCTATTGCAATTAAACGAGGATGTACTTGATGAACAGAGCGCAAGATTCGAGAAGAGGTGTGATTTTTACGTCGCTGATATACCAACCTCATTCTCTAGGGGTACGTTTGTTGTTGGTGGAACTGAGAGTATAATCTATACTTGTTTGCAGGGCACCGTTGGCATGATGATACCTGTTGCAACAAAGCTGGAGGCTGAACTTCTCAGTGCTGTTGAATACGAGTTGAGGGCCTTCTACACCTCTGAATTTGATGACTTTGACAAGAGAAAGCAAGGCTATAACTTGCTTGGTAAAGACCAGGGCAAATTCAGGTCTTACTTCAACCCTTCGAAAAACGTTATTGATGGTGATTTTGTCGAGCGATTTTATGAAATTTCTCTAGAGAACAAGATCAAAATTGCTGGGAAGCTTGGAAGAACGCCTAGAGAAATTGAAAAGAGACTTTACGACATTAGAAATAGATCCGCATTTTAATGAAGCTAATCATATATTTCGTCAGATTGTACAACACAGAATTAATGATATCGTTACCACAAGCAACTTTGGCTTATGTTATGGTTATTTTTTGTAGTAGCAAAAGTTTCTCGCCGAATGAAAGTTATTAGATAAAATTGAAGACTAATGCAATATGAATGTCGTCATGAAATAAATTTTGGTCATTTATACCATGTAGGCATCGCCTACTTAGGAGGCGTGACGGCTTTACCTGGTGAGCCATTGACCTTCGCGTCAGGGATATCTTTCGAATCCTTGACCGTTGCTCTTCGCAGATGTGTGGGGCTTGCTTGGTCATTGCTTTCCTCGCTATTTTTTCTTCCTGGAGTTTGTCCGTTTGGCGTACTAAATTGCACGAAGTTCCAAAACGCTGGGGATGATTGCGTCACATTGTTAGCGTTATTTGGAAGTCCAAGCTTCATACCGGCCTTGGAGCCTCGTTCAGGTGTGAATGCTTCCAAAGGTGTTATCTTTTTGGGGGATGTGTATCCTATGCCAAGCTCGGAAGTGTTTGATGTAGTTGGTGCAGTCGAGTTTTGTTGCATCTCACTCAAGTTTCCTTGTGAGGTGTTGTTCGCATCGTTACCGTTTGCAATCTCAGAAGCGCGGGCATTCTGCTCGTTGCCTCTGAAAGCAAAGTTATTGTTACTTGATTGACTTGTCCCAGGAGTTGGGGGAGGAAGGTTGAAGACGTGACTCCCCCCTACTTTAGGTAGCTTTGGCGTGTTAGCGTCCTGTCTGGTATTGTGCTTAAGGGGCGAAGCGAGCGTCTTGTTCTCTCCGCTTAAGGAAGACATAAATTGCTGGTGTGGTTGATGTTGATGCTGCTGCAAATGAGGTTGGTTGGGCATCTGAGGATTGCCTGGGTACCCTGGAGGACCATTGAACTGCTGCATGGGGTAGCCGTTCATTTGACCACCGTAATTGATCTGTGGTTGCATTTGATTTGGTGGAAGACCGGTGTATGGCATTGGCTGGGTGACCTTTTGATACATGTGATCACCATTTGAGGAACCACGGAAATCCATAATTTGTCTTTTTTCGCCTCCAGAGCCCTGCGAGTCTGGAAGGCTGTGGTGAGTGGCGAGATGAATCTGCAATGTTCTAGATACTGAGGAGCCACGACGGGACTTCAGCAATGTGCCATTTTGAATCTTTTTCATAAAATCTTCTTTGTAAGACTCACTGATTTGCCACTTCATACCTTTACCCGGCTCGTTAGGTCTTCTTGGAACCTTTTCGAAAGCTTTGTTGAGCGACAAGTTATGTCTGATGGAGTTTTGCCAGCCGGCTTTGGAGTACTTGTAGTATGCATAATGGGATGAAATCCAATTGTAAATCTCGGACAAAGACATGACACCGTCTGAATTTGAAAGAATAGCCTGCGTAATCATGGTGGCATAAGAATATGGAGGCTTAATGTCCTTAGCATCTTCCTTGGACAAGTCCTGGTCCAAATTGTTCTGCAAGGAGACAGCTGATACTGATGAAGGGGAATGCGTCAAGTTGGCTTTATCAAACATCTGGAATCCCGTTACACCCAAAAACAGTCTCATAGAATTCAGAGGCTGATGCATGGTCGTGTTTCTCGGGAGGTTGTTGGATGTGGCAGGCATCTTGTTACCCTGCTGCTTATAGCGGGATAAACAGACGTTTAACATCTTTTGCAGGATGCTAGGAGGTGCATCAGGCAAAATAAACATCATTTGTGTGCCGCCTATATCCAATATAGCACCGGAGTGTAATGGAGTAGCATGTTCCGAACCAACGGGCACTTTATTGCCATCGATTCTTGCACCGTTTCTACCTAGCACAGTCAACTCCCAGCACTTTAAATCCATGTTATATTTGATGGCTGCATGCTGTCTAGAGACAACTTTGGCTGGACCCAAGTCGATGTTTACTGTTTGCTGGCTGGCTGGAGCGTTGGTAGGATTGTTTTCGGTGTTTCTTCCGATCGAAATGGCCAAAGTCCTAACGTAGTACGTCCAGTCACGGCCGGCGATCTTGGCGTATGCCTGAACTTCAGTAGCCAAGTTTTTATCGTTGGCGTAGTCAGTCGCTACATTGGTTCTCTCCTCTGGAATTTGCAATGTTGATATCACCGCGTTGACGAGGTCTGCTGGATCGTCAAAAGTCGGAAGATCATCTTCACGAGGACGCTTCTGCTGTTCTGTCATGTTGGGATGTGTTTTATGTTGGAAAGTATTGTGAAGTTGTATGGAGCCAGGTATTAGGGGCAGTATTGTTTATTGTTTACCGTCCAGCGTCGAGACTGACACTTGAAGAGGGAGATTTTGAACGTCCACTAGCTCGGGATTGATAGCTATTCAAGGCAAGTAATCACCTGCAATCGCGTTGTTTTGATTCTGGAGGTTGGTCCGACCAATGAACCGTGCTTTTTTTCCGAATGGTGAGGGAGGAAGAAAAAAAAAGAGCCATGAACACAAACAGTCGGAGTGCACACACGCAGAATCCTACTGGGTCGCTCACTTGTTTAATATAAGGAGAGGGCCAGAGCGTTTTTTTAGGAGATTTAAACTTTCTTTTGTGGTCTTCGTGGCATCAAAAACGTGTCAAAATCGTCCAAAAACAGAAGCTTTTGAAGCTGATGCTAGGCCAACACTATATATTCTTCGATTCGGAGATCTTCTCCAGGGTCCATAGCCATGGAATGCGTTCTACGCGCCGTTTTTAACTTAAACCCCCACATTTAACAAGCTCATGGCGGTTGCTTCTTGCTCCTGGGACAATGCAGGATGTTTATTTACTCAGAGTGAGACACCAGAGCACCAGGACTGTCATCGAAAATCTTATTCCACACACGTGACGCGTAGCGCATGGACCCCTACCACTTGGGGATTATATCACCGGCTTTTCGTAGTTGATTGGTATAACAAACGAGTCGATTTCTGTATCAAATCCTCGTGCATCGGTGGATTCTCTCGTGATGATGTCAACCTCTGTATCTTCCTCCTCGAGTCTTTTCTTGATCACCTCAGTCTCATCGATGATGTCAAACTCGTCTTCCTTCTCCTCGTATTCATCATTTTCCTCGATTTCCACAAAATCGGGCGCAAGGGCACTCCACTTCGATGGAAACTGGACCAGCCAGAGATATATTGCCCCGCTGTCAAGTCCGGTCGAGCCGATCATGCACTTGTTGTAGTTCCACTTCACGTCTATGAGCTCCTCATGGCTACCTTCAAGAATCTTAACCAATGAACCCATCTGGGTTTCCCAAAGGTACAAATCTTGTGAGCTCTGGCCAAATGTAGAAGCGACTAGAAATTCAGAATTGTGATTGAAAGCGACCGTGTTCCATTGCAATCGGTTCACCACATCCTGGTACTTGTGCTCGATCTCAAACTCCCAAGTCGACGCATCTCGGTTGTTGATCATGTCAGGCAATGTAAACTGCCTGATGACTCTATCGGAAGAGTTAACGGCTAACTTTCTGCCGTTCCGAGAGATCTCAAGCGTTTTGATATTGCTGTTGGTGACTTTTGTCAGGTGGACCGTCTGGAGATCCTCAGCGTTCATTATATTGAGCCAGCCTTTACTTGTGCCTGTGAATATGAAATCTCCTTGCGGACTGAACCTAGTAACGAGTGTCATGTGTTTTGTTTCCTTTTTCTTGGGCTCGTCATCGTCAAGTTCTTGTTGCTCGAGTGGCTCTGTCTTGAGTTTTGTCACCACAGGCTCATCTCGAAGATCGACATGAACTGGCTCATCTTCAAAAAGAGATGCAGTAAACTGAAAGTGATTCTTTGGATGTAGCGAAGACAGCCAAACGGGTGAGTCAAATCGTATTTTTCGAAGCACAGCTGGGTTTTTGTCCACACCAAGCTTGTTGGCGTACTTGAGATCCCATATTATGCAACACCAGTCCTGGGAGGACAGAAGAAGATAGCGCCCGCAACTTGACCAATTGAGGGACGTGATTTGCCTCACATGGCCGTCTTTTCGTAGCACTGCTGCAATGGTATACGAGACCATGTCGTAGATGATTATTCTTCCATCGCTCATACCCGCCGCTAGGTAATCTCCCTTGACGTTGAACTGGATAACCACAGCATGCCCATGATGGAGTGTTTGAACGAGTGTTTCTGGAAACTCCTTGGCTACTGCAAAGGGGTCCTGAAGGGATAAGTTCATGGTGGTGGTTTCTCTTATAAACCGTGAAGGCGCGCATCGATAGATGGTCTAGCAGTGGAGGATGTGATTACATGAAAGAAATGCAGTAAGGATGAGAAGAATGTAAATTTGGGATGGACGCTTCAGCTCATACGTGGACTGGTATCCAGATGGTTACTGTCTTTTGCGTTGCCGATTTGAAAGTTATCAAAAACGTATTGAATCGACGGTCTGTAAAGCCGATGCTCTCGAATTATTTTTGAATACCATTTTTCTCGGAAGATTGGAAGTTTCAGTACTTCAAGTCTCGTATGGAATTCTATCTTTCTCTTCGAAATGTATTCAAAGTATTTTATAATCGGCTGAGTTTCTCAAGTGGTAACCTATTTCTTCACAACTTCGCACAAATCTCTGACTTCTACAAAACATACTGACCTAGACCTGAAAGTTGCAAAAGATAAAGCTGAATATTAAAAACTTCAACGACGAATATTGAAGAAGTAAAAACCCGTCCATGAGATTTGCAAACCTTCAATTTGCATCTATAATCAAATTTACATTTTCTGGACTGGTGGTTTTACCTTCTCGTCTAAGCCTCCTGCGGTTTAAATTTGTCTGAGTTGACGCGGCTTAAGATAGCACTCCGCTTAGAAACGTATCCTTCTTTCCTTTACCAAAACCCACAAGAGTCACATAATAAACCACAAATTAGTCAACAGATGATTACAAGATAATGTATAGGACCTCAATGCTTTCCGGAGTGTTATTATGGGTGCTTTTATTGGTCACATCCGTCAGTGGCCAGGTTCACGTCTATGTGGACACCGGAACAAGAGAATGTTTCACTCGAGATCTTAGCACAGAATCTGTGCTTCTTGGGTCCTACAAGATTGAAATTCTAGACGAACAAGGGATTTACAGTGTTCCGCGTGACAAAGCCAATACTGGTGTAATTGTCGATGTGGAAGAGGTGTTTGCCTCGAATAATCGCGTGATTCACCAAAGAGGCTCATCTTCTGGTAAGTTTCTGTTCAGCGCTCTAGAGCTGGGGTCTCACCGTATCTGCTTGACTCCTAAGCTGTTTTACAAAAGAAAGTGGAAAGGAGACGACCCCATAGAGCTTGAAGAGTCCAGATTCAAGCGAGCCAGGGTGACGCTCGACTTCTTTATCGGTGACGCAAAGAATGTTCTTGCAAAAGATCACACAGAAATAGAGGAATTGACCTCAAGAATTGCATCGTTGATTGACAAAATCACGTACATAAAGCAAGAGCAGGGTTTCATCAGGGCCAAAGAGGCCACCTTCAGAGATTTGCTGGAAAAGGCATGTGAGAGGGTAGTCTCATGGCTGATTTTACAGATTGCAATTGTTGGTTTGACCTTCCTTTACCAGCTGTGGACCTTACTACGGTTCCACATGAAGAGGAAAGTTCATATCGATTGAGCTGCACAATCCTTACTCGTTCATTGCATCTGGGCTTGCATTCAAGACAAGCAAAGTTAATTTAGGCGTTTTTGGTATGTAAAAAATTAAAATGGGTATCGGCTTTTTGTAGATATGGCAGTATCACCGCTTATCGCATGTAACTACAGATTTCGCACCATAACTACTACAGATCTGCTATGGCAGACTTACTCGAGCCCACTGTGTTGGATGACAATCCCAGGCATATTCTTTCCAACAGAACGTCGTATCTGTCGACTCCATCGAACATCCTGCTAGACGGACAGAGTCTACTATCCCCCTCGAGACGAAAGAGATTTGATGATCGGTCTCAATCAAGAACTAGCATACAACTACGAGCGCACACTGCGTCCCCGAGCACCAAGCGACTGACTTCTCTGGTAGCCCCAGTCTCGAAGGATGTCCAGCATTTTGTCAAATGGACCGAGACCAAGCAGATTCTGAAGATCATGAATTCTACTACTTTCATAGAGAAGTTCGGCGCTCCACAGCTTATCCAGCTCTCCCAACACCATATAGCTGTCGGAACGGCAAAGGGTGTCATAATTGCTTTCAACTACAGACAAGAAGCTGACTTTGTTCTCATTCCTCGGAAGAACGACCTAGATACACCGGCCCAGACCCAGATGCCGCAGATTAGCTGTATAGCATTCTCCTCAGATGCATTTCTCGTTGCCGCTGGCTACAAGAATGGATCAATTGCTGTCTGGGACCTTGAAAATGCGATATCGAAATCATCGTTCGACATTATCTATGCCGATGGATTGATAAGGCCTATAACTATGGAAGAGCGTTTTGGTCGTAACTCGCAAGGTCACTTAGAAGGTGTCCCAGTCATAAAAATTGATTTTGTTGGTGATAAATACCAACAGATAGTATCTTCCGACTTATCTGGGTTGGTGTTTTTCCATCGTGGGTTCAGAAGATTCCTTCGGAAGTATTACACATCTCAGAAGATTTTAGGGAAGAATGATACCAATGCTGATGACCCATCCGCCAAATTCACAATACAAGATAGCCAGATACTTCCAATAGGTACTTCTGAGCAGATAACGGATACTTTGGGTTTATTGGCGGTGATCACAAAAAATATCATGATCATCAATTCCGTGCGTTCCCTAGATAATCCTGAAGTTCCTCATCTGATTAGCCATTTCAAGTGCTCTAGACCCAAATCTGTCGCTGGCGACGAACTGAATGGTTGTTTGTCTTGGTACCCTTGCATCGAGGTAGATAAGAAAATCCACAATGCCAAACTAGCATACGCATGGTGCAACATAATTCTGATAGTTGAGCTTGACAACGAGGCTATTCCAGCAAACATAATGTCAAAAATTGCGGACATGAAAGAGAAAAATAAGGGTATTCCCCAGTTGAAATTTCACAGGAAAGGAAGATTGAGCGTTCCGGAAAAAGAGAGGGTGGTCACACTCAATTGGCTTAACTCAGAGATACTCACAGCTGTTACCCGTCATATTGAAAGTACAGAGACAAAACTTTATTTCTTTTACTACACTGGGGTGGATCAAGCCACTTTTACACAAGTTGGAGTGGACAATCTCGACTCTCAGCAGGTTTCTACTCTTGACATTGAGCTCAAAGACAGAAAGCAGCTGTTTAAGACATCGAGCTATAGTGGTAGCCTTAGAATTCTTCGGCACCGCCTAGTGCTCTTAGTCAATTCGCACTCGGTCTCACAAAGGTCAATTCTTTCAGGAAGATGCCTCAAATGGGCCGATAGACTCACCGAATACCTCGCTCACGGGGAATTTCAGGAAGCCCTTGGTATGGCTTATGAGTACTACGTATCAGATAACTATGGACAATTGGTTCTTCACGGGCTTCCTCATAACAGAAAAGAGCGGCATTTTGTCGTTGAACCCATCCTTAAACGAGTCATGGAAGAGTCCATCGTGCCTCTCTTCAATCCTGAAGCCCCATCCACGAAGAATGAGGCCAATTTAAGGCTCTATTTTACTTTAGCATCTATTTTGTCGAAAGGTGGTTTGATTGATGAGTCTCTACTTCTGATGTTGGATCATATCTATGAAAGGTTCGAGGACTTAGGTTTATTCTTCGACATTTTGGAGGAATATATCGTCTCCTCAGAAATCAAGAACCTCTCACCTATACTTTTCAAGGGCCTAATTGAGCAATATGCCTCGAGTGATAAGAGTGAACTACTCGCGGAGCTCATTTGTCTACTAGACATGTCAACGTTGAATATCGATTTAGCGCTCAATCTTTGCAAGACTTTTCATTTGAGAGAATGTCGAATCTACATTTGGAATGAGATGCTCAAGGACTACACAACTCCGTTGGTATCTTTGATAGAGGAGATCGAGCTCGCCCAGAGCGAACATGCTGAATTGGTCATTGTGTACACCTACATGTCTTATGTCCTCACAGGACGACAATACCCAAGCGATCGAGTTTTAAACCAAGACATCGAAGCTTATGCTAGAAACTCCATCTGCGACATTCTTTTCAGTATTGGGCCATTTACATGGCCTCAGAATTCTGGGATACACTTGCTTGGACTTAAATCTGAGCGAGTATTTCCATATTTGACATTTTTTCTCGAATTTGATACATTTGAGACTTTGACTACGATCAACGAGTTTTTTGAAAATCCAGCCCTCAATGATGAAATGAGCACTTTGAATCGACAGTACATTGTTGAAGCGCTTTTAGATGTATTTGAGGCTAGTGAAGAATTGCAAAATGATCAAAGTCGGACTCAGCTAGCAATCTTTTTTGCGAGAAATTACCCAAAATACTTCCAATTTATACGACTCTCAGAGACGGTTCTTCAAGACACTGTTGATGAGCTTTGCAAGAATAGGGATGAGGAGCTTCACGAGGATTGTGAGCTTGCATTGGAGAGCTTGCTCTCGGTGTATGAAGTTGAAAGCGACGCCCACCTTCTTGAACAAATGAGGGCAGCTAAATTTTATGATGTTCTCTTCAAGATTTGCAAAGCTCAAGGCAAGTTCACACAAGCGATGGAAATGTGGCTAGCCAAACACCAGGATAGTTCATCGACCGACATGGAAAAGAATTTTGCTGTATTGGCAGATATGCTTAAAAGCACATTTCAGGTCGATAATCAAAACACAACGGAGCAATTTCATTTGACTCGCTTCATCGAAACTCACCACGAGGATTTAATCAGTCTGAATGCAGATGATATGGTAGTTCTCTCGAATACCTATAGACCATCTTTGCATCTTTTGATCCTCAAGTGTGAAAATGATACTCTTTCGTTGAAGTATCTCGCCTCGTTCTTTGAGAGATATTCAAGCTCTGAATTGAACTCAATAGCACTTCCTTTACTAGTGAGATACGTGGAACTTTTGAGCATTCATGACAGGAGGGAGGTAAAAAATGTTATCTCCAGAGAAGTGACTAAGTTGGGTACCCATGCTCTGGAGAAGGATGAGATAAAAAAAGTTCTTGAACATGCTGGCCTATTTGAGCCCATGGCGATTATCCTTTTCAACGATAAGGAATACAGTGGGGCCGTGAGCGAGCTTTGGAGAGCCATCGAGTTCTCGCTTAAGGAAGTGGATGTATTCTCTGAAGATGACTATTCGAAGATCGACTCTTATCTCAACAGGATCATTTCCATCAGCAAAGAGGCTAAGCAAGAAAGTTTATGGACTTCACTCGTTGGAAAGGCAGTGACAATGAGCGACCTGACTGAAGATCAGCGTTTGCACAATATCTTCAATGACGCTATCTTCAAGTGCTTCAGAGCAATTGAGAATAATGAAGGGGTTACGAACCGCAAGTCTACGTTTGCAATTGTATTCAACCAAGTTCTCGAAGTGGCCAAAGTTGCAAACATTAGGGAAACGCTCCAGGACATTTTGACGTCTTATTTTTTCGAGTCTGAGATCCACACCATCACTGTCGGGAAAGTCAACCAGCGAATTTCAAAGTATATGGATACTATCAAGCAAGAGGAGCTTCTAGGTTGGCTTGTTACCAACAAACATTGCACGAGTTGTGGGAAGGTAATGTGGGGAGAAGAGATGCTAGAGCGGCATGCCTGGGCCTGGGAAGAGAGACAAAGAAGTAAAATATTCCTTTCCAGCGGACCATTTGACAAAGAAAGATTTAGCGATTGTGATCTTTACTTATTCAAGTGCTCACACGGATATCACAAGAGATGCCTCGAGCAAATTGGAGGATCCGATCGCTGTGTCATATGTTGCCCCGAGTAAAGACATCTACAGTATCATTTTATACATCCCGCCTCGAGAGTAGCAATCTCGAAGCTCAAGGGGTAGATTGAAAGGAAAAGCCACATTTGCCCCTAGCCTTGGCAAGTGTCGAAATGCGAAGATCCCGAACATTTTCAGATGGTCCCCTGATCATAGGAACCAAGGTGGGGTGAGGATTTCTAGCCCGAAAGGATTCGCAGAGGCCTCATGCGAGTTATTTATTCGCTGTGAGGCAGGTAACAAGGGGCTAGGGCTTCGCGAGCTCATATACAGGTTATACATACTTTTTGGGATCAAACCCTTTCTCAAACAGGAATAGAGCAAAACACAAACGTTCTGGGTCGCAATGCCAAACAGCGGCAGAAAGAGTTACAGCCTACTTGCACCGACACATACCTCAAAGCTGTATGGCTTTTGTCTTCCGTCAACCACTTTTTTTTTCTTGTACACTTTTTGACGAATTTTTTTTCATTAGAGGAATCAAACACTGCCTCGTATTCTGGCGCAAGAGAATCGCAATTTCAGAAAGACAGCGCCTAATTTGGAAAGCTACATTTTGCGAAAGACATTTTTAGAAGCTAATTTACCCGCAAGGCGGCCATTTGACAGGAGACGACTTGAATTCTCATTTTCTTTCACGAAGCTACTTGCTCCTACTGACCCAAGACTTCAAACTTTAAGTGAAGCGCTTACCTTATATCACTTCAGTTAACCCATCTTCCCCTTGGTCCATCTGATTTTCGGATTGGGTTCAACTTTTCCAGTCAATCGCTCAAAGCCCTGAATAACTGATCTATGAGCAACTACGACGACGACCTATTCGGAGACGAAAAGGTCCCTCGAAGCCCTTACCAGCAGCAGCAGTTTCCATCTCATTCCAGAGTTGCATCAAGCTCAAGAACCTTCTCCAGTGGAGAGAATGAGAGCGATGATTTCTACGAAAAGCTCGGTGGATCCTTGTACGGTGAGTCCAACGCCTCCACCGTCAAGCAGCCTGGTGTTCGTTTCAGCGAACATGTGGTCCGTAACTCTTACGTTGGCCTGATGCATAACGGTAGAAGCACGGTGGCCTCTCCCTTGATGGCCCCCAGAGAATCTTACAGAATGACACAGTATCCCCTGTTCGAATACAATACTCCAGAGTATCCGCAAAGCACTTACAATCGTTACAGTCTCATGAACATGGATGAGATGGCTAGCATGCCCAACAGAATGAGTATGGGCTACCAGCAGATGGCCGTGCCGATTCAGCCAGACGACTACAACTTGAACTTGCTTGAAGAAGCAGCAGACGACATGGATCCCTTTGGCGACGACGACTCATTGTTCTCTGAAGCCGACCCTGACGAGTTGAGAAGAGGAATGACTTTGAAGAGAACCCCTACTCAGGCCAGACCACATGAGGTCCAGGAAGAGGAGGACTTTACCCCACGTCTTAACTACACGAAGACTGTCAAGCGTGCTCGTTTGGTGGACGGTAACTTTGTCATCGACGCTCCAGTTCCCAAGCTGTTGCTCAACACATACACTCGTCCTTCTTTTGGTGAGAGTAACGAGACATCGTTCGTGAGATATTCTGGTGTGACTTGTGGTCCTTCCAACTTCGTCAACTATAAGTACAATCTCCGTCAAACGTTGTACTCCCCACCAAGAGAGACTGAGATCATGGTTTGCATAACAATGTATAACGAGGACGAGATTTTGCTCGCCCGTACATTGAAAGGTGTTTTTGAAAACATCAGAAACTTGACCAAAAGAAAAGACCCAAATTGGGGTGACGGTTCTTGGAAAAAGGTTGTTATTTTGATTGTCAACGACGGTCGTTTGCAGCTTCATCAAAGAACTCAAAAGCTTCTCACAGCCCTTGGTGTCTTTCAGGAGGGTTATGCCAAATCCAAGGTGAACGAGAGCCACGTCAAGGCTCATCTTTATGAATACACATCTACTGTGGGAATTGAGAGAGTTACGAATGATAGAGTCTACCTATCTCAGAACCTGACTCCCGTTCAGCTCGCTTTTTGCTTGAAGGAAAAGAATGCGAAGAAGATTAACTCCCATCGTTGGTGTTTCCAGGCATTCGCTCCATTGCTCAACCCTAAAGTTGTCATGCTTCTCGACTGTGGTACCACACCATCAAAAGACGCCTTCTACCATTTGTGGTCTGCTTTCAAGGATCCTAATGTCGTGGGTGCTTGTGGTGAGATGAGAGTCGCCTTGGGCCAAAATAAGAGACTTTTGTCTAATCCCTTGGTTGCTGCCCAGAATTTCGAATATAAGATTGCTAACGTTTTGGATAAGCCCATGGAGTCTGTATTTGGATTCATCTCAGTGCTTCCAGGTGCGTTTTCGGCGTACAAGTGGGAAGCATTGCTCAATGTTGACGGACAGGGTCCGCTTGAGAAATACTTCAAGGGTGAGTTTTTGCATCAGAATAAGGAGATGGACGAAGATGATGACGAGTTCGAGTTGATGGAAAAGAACTTCCAAGAATCAGGCATTTTCACTTCCAATATGTACTTGGCCGAAGACAGAATCTTGTGTTTCGAGCTTGTGGCTAAGAAGGGTCACAACTATGTTTTGCGTTACGTGAGTGGTGCCAAGGCAGAAACTGATGTTCCTGAAAAGATGGATGACTTTGTTTTGCAGCGTCGTCGTTGGCTTAACGGTTCGTTGTTCGCCGCTGTCTATTCCATTGTTCACTGGACCCAGATTTGGAAATCCAACCACAGTCTTTTGAGAAAACTTTGGCTCCAGCTTGAATTCTACTACCATTTAGTGACTGTCTTGGTGTCTTGGTTCTCGTTATCTTGTTTCTTCTTGGTGTTCCGTATTTTGACGAAAAACTTGGGATCACCGGAAGTTGGATTTTCCTTTGGTACTACACTTTCGACCATCTTTCTATGGATCTACGTTGCATGCCTCGTTTGTACATTCGTGTTGGCATTCGGTAACACACCTCGAGGGACCAAAAAGTTCTATACGGTTATTGCGGTGGTGTTTGCTGTTCTCATGGCGTACATGTTGTTTGCAGCCATTTATTTGGCTGTCAATACAGTGAAATTGATTATGAAAAATGCAGATGGAAACTTCACGCCTAGCATGTTATTCACAAATCAAAAATTCCGAGATCTTGTGGTGTCCGTGCTCAGTACTTATTTACTTTACGGAATAGGCGCCGTGATTCATGGCGAGCCCTCGTTCATGTTTACGTCATTCTTGCAGTACCTTTTGATCTCGCCAACTTACATCAATGTGTTGAACGTCTACTCGTTCTGTAACATTCACGATGTGTCTTGGGGTAACAGAGATTCGCCACAAGCCAAGGACTTGGGTACAGCGAAGATTACCGAGGACAAGAACGGAGAATTGATCATGACTGTCGTTCCTGCGTCTGACCAGGGTCTCGAAGAGAGCTACATGAACACAGTCGACGACTTGAAGGTTCCGCCACCAACGGTTCCTGTTGTGATGTCGAAGAAGCTGAAGGAGGACTCATACTATGCGTTCTTGCGTACCATCACCGTGTTGGTGTGGATGTTGACCAATGCCATTTTGGTTGCAATTGTGTTGGCGGCAGTTGGCCCCAAGGACGATACTTGGAGTGACTACAGGAACTCTACGATCTTCTTGACGGTGATCTTGTGGATTGTGTGTGCGCTTGCCGGATTCCGTCTCACGGGCAGTGTCATTTACCTCTTGCAGAAGGCATTGAGACCACTTAAATGGTGGGCACGCAAGAGGAACAGCGTCTAAGGACGGGAGTTGCATGGCACGGTGAAATACGGGAAAATTAAGAGAGCCGGTTGGACCGGCCGAGGTTGCAATCGGCCGAGGTATTTGGCACAAAACGGCTTGAGCGAAAGAGGCGACATTAAGCGGTCGGCACAAGCAGGAAAGCGAGCCGAACGGAGCAGTCCGAGAAGCTGCACGAAGCCGAGGAAGCAGGAAATAAAATATGGGGCGCGAGTGTCAAGCCAATGGTAAGGCCGATGTAAAAAATGAGAGATTTTTTTTTCCGGGCCGCTGGATGGTCGCGCAGATGCACCGGCCTCGAGGATTGCCGCAGAAGGGCAGGGTAATGGATATGGAAAGCGAAACAGAGTCGTTGTAGGCCAAGTAGAGGAGAGGGGTAAAACATACGAGAAAGCCCTTTTTCAAAACGCCAAAGGAGGGGCCGAGATCGACGATCCTTTTTTTTTGGCCCAACGTAATTGAGCAGTCAGTGTGGAGGTGGAATTCAACGAAGTCACTGAACAGAGTGCGAAAAAAAAAAAAAAAAAGCCAGTGCGAAAAGGCCAGTGCTCAATGGGACAAATGAGGCGGCGGTGGGGGAACCATGTACATTAGGGTAGGCTGAAAATAAGGCTTTGAAGCCATTAAGCCCAGGCACCGTTCAAGCCCAAAGCCTGGTCACCTCCTTCCAATTGGAAAAATAGCTTTGGTACGAAAGCTAAGTCTGAGGCCACCTCCTGCTGGACGCAAAAAGATGGCGCCTTTTGCAAGATTAGGTTTTTCGCTTTGTGTCTGCTGGCTTATCTGGTGTGGTAGCACGGACGGTGCCGCGCAACGGCCCAGGAACAAAAGATTCTAGCGCGGGCGCTGGCCAATGAACGCCGCTGCGACGTGGGGCAGGTGAGGGAATTTTGAGGGCCAAGACGTCGGAGTAGGCCAGGTCGGGGTGAGCCCCAGAGCCTTTGTAACAACCCCGAAAGGCAGGTGGAGGCCGCCGAGATCACACGATAGGGGGTGGGAAGAGAAAAATTAAAGAATGGGAGACGAAGAAAAAATGAAATAAAAAAAAACTCAAAAGAAAGAATGGGCTTCGTAGAGCTAAAGTTTGCAAAGATTTGCAGAGGCAAGCCGTTTGCAACCATTGTGGAGTCGGACGGGTGCGAGCTGACGACAGGTCGGGCTGGCCCGCGCGACAAATCGTGTGAGAGTGCTGGATTCCCGCGCCAAACCAGCGCCAGCCTGACAAGGAATTACGAGACAAGAAATGGGGCACTTTGGCAAGGCAAAGAAAGCTGGAGAGCAGTAGGAATTAGACAATTTTTTGGTTGTAGCTGCAGCCTCGGTTCCTTAAAGGTTGTTTCCAAACCGTGGAACAATGGTTGGTGGAAACCGCCGGAGGAGCAGGACGGTGAGACAGAGACGCAGAATGGTGCCACAGCGCTTGACGTCAGTGCGCCAGCCCAGCCCAACGAAAACGGCAGGGCAGGGCCCGGGGTTCCCAACGGAGAAGTCAGGCAGCAGCAGCGCTGGCTGGCGGGCCTAAAGGGTAATTTTAGAGAACGAGGTGGAAAATATCGTGGGCATTGAGTTGTTTGGTCACTCTTGTGACTACGAAAAGTTGTTTATTTTTCCCAAGTGAGACTTGGCCTAGCCGGTGAGTTGCCGTGGAAGAGTCAGGCAGCACTTGAACGAGGGTAAAGCGACACGACGACATTCCTGCATGCTCAGAGCCGTGTGCGTCGGGCTGCAGTGCGCCTCAGCTGCCAGTTTCCCAATTCTTTCTTTTTTTCCGACATGCCTGCCCAAAACGTGCGGTTTGTTTATCAAAAATTCCCTCATTTCACATCTTTTTTCGGCGTTCCAGCAGGCAGGACCCAAGCAATAAATAAAAAAAAAAAAATAGTTCCTGAAGGAAAAAGGAAAAAACAAAATTATCGCCTGTAGCATCCGTCAGCGCCGACGCTGTCTGCCGGCGGGGCTGTCTGCCTGCCTAATAGGTTTTTTTTTCCCTCTTACTCGTGGGCCACATATAAATGAAGCCGGCCCCCCACTAGTTTTTCTCTCTTTTAGACTTTTGTGTTTCTCTTTTCCAATTCTTCGAGCGCATTCGTGTCGTAGTTCAAGGACGAAATGAGTGCTACCGAACCCACTAACGAGAAGCTTAACAAAGCTGCCGAAGATGACGACGAGGACGAGGATATCGACCAGTTGATCATTGACTTGCAGTCTAACCACAACCTCGACGAGGAAGAGTCCGAGGATGAGGCTGACGCTGGTTCCTTCAAGGCCGTCCCAGATGAGCTTTTGCAGACCTCTCCAGAGGTTGGTTTGTCTGACGACGATGTCAACAAGAGAAGAAAGAAGTATGGTTTGAACCAGATGGCTGAGGAGCAGGAGAACATGGTTCTCAAGTTCGTCATGTTCTTTGTCGGTCCAATTCAGTTCGTTATGGAAGCCGCTGCCATTTTGGCCGCTGGTTTGGAGGACTGGGTCGATTTCGGTGTCATTTGTGGTTTGTTGTTGTTGAACGCTTCCGTCGGTTTCATTCAGGAATACCAGGCTGGTTCTATTGTCGATGAATTGAAGAAGACTTTGGCTAACACTGCTAACGTTGTCAGAAACGGTACTCTTGTTGAGGTCCAGGCTAACGAAATTGTCCCTGGTGACATTTTGCAGTTGGAGGACGGTACCGTTATCCCAGCTGACGGTAGAATTGTCTCCGAGAACGCTTTGTTGCAGGTTGACCAGTCCGCTATCACCGGTGAGTCCCTTGCCGTTGACAAGAGACACGGTGACTCTACTTACTCCTCCTCTACCGTCAAGACCGGTGAGGCTTTCATGATTGTTACTGCTACTGGTGACTCTACCTTCGTCGGTAGAGCCGCTGCTTTGGTTAACAAGGCCTCTGGTGGCTCTGGTCACTTCACTGAGGTCTTGAACGGTATTGGTACTATCTTGTTGGTTTTGGTCATTGTTACCTTGTTGGTTGTCTGGGTCGCTTGTTTCTACAGAACCGTCCCAATTGTTCCTATCCTTAGATACACCTTGGCTATCACCATTGTTGGTGTCCCAGTCGGTTTGCCAGCTGTCGTCACCACCACCATGGCTGTCGGTGCTGCTTACTTGGCTAAGAAGCAGGCTATTGTCCAGAAGTTGTCCGCCATTGAGTCCCTTGCTGGTGTTGAGATCTTGTGTTCCGACAAGACCGGTACCTTGACCAAGAACAAGTTGTCCTTGCACGAGCCATACACCGTTGAGGGTGTTGAGGCCGACGACTTGATGTTGACTGCTTGTTTGGCTGCTTCCAGAAAGAAGAAGGGTTTGGACGCTATTGACAAGGCTTTCTTGAAGTCCTTGATCAACTACCCAAGAGCTAAGGCTGCTTTGACTAAGTACAAGGTCTTGGAGTTCCAGCCATTCGACCCTGTTTCCAAGAAGGTTACTGCTATCGTTGAGTCCCCAGAGGGCGAGAGAATTGTCTGTGTTAAGGGTGCTCCATTGTTCGTCTTGAAGACTGTCGAGGATGACCACCCAATCCCTGAGGATGTTCACGAGAACTACCAGAACACTGTCGCTGAGTTTGCTTCTAGAGGTTTCAGATCTTTGGGTGTCGCCAGAAAGAGAGGTGAGGGCCACTGGGAAATCTTGGGTATTATGCCATGTATGGACCCTCCAAGAGATGACACTGCTCAGACTGTTAACGAGGCTAGAAGATTGGGTCTTTCTGTTAAGATGTTGACTGGTGATGCCGTCGGTATTGCTAAGGAGACCTGTAGACAGTTGGGTCTTGGTACTAACATTTACGATGCTGAGAAGTTGGGTCTTTCCGGTGGTGGTGACATGGCCGGTTCCGAGATTGCTGACTTTGTTGAGAACGCTGACGGTTTCGCCGAGGTTTTCCCTCAGCACAAGTACAACGCTGTTGAGATTTTGCAGGCTAGAGGTTTCTTGGTTGCCATGACTGGTGACGGTGTTAACGATGCTCCATCTTTGAAGAAGGCTGACACTGGTATTGCCGTTGAGGGTGCCACTGACGCTGCTAGATCCGCTGCCGACATTGTTTTCCTTGCCCCAGGTTTGTCCGCTATCATTGACGCTTTGAAGACTTCCAGACAGATTTTCCACAGAATGTACGCCTACGTGGTGTACCGTATCGCTTTGTCTTTGCACTTGGAGATCTTCTTGGGTCTTTGGATTGCTATCTTGGACAGATCTCTTAACATTGACTTGGTTGTTTTCATTGCCATTTTCGCTGACGTTGCTACCTTGGCTATTGCTTACGACAATGCTCCTTACGACCCTAAGCCTGTCAAGTGGAACCTTCCAAGATTGTGGGGTATGTCCATCATCTTGGGTGTTATCTTGGCTGTCGGTACCTGGATCACCTTGACCACTATGTTCTTGCCAAAGGGTGGTATTGTCCAGAACTTCGGTTCCATTGACGGTATCTTGTTCTTGCAGATTTCCTTGACTGAGAACTGGTTGATTTTCATCACCAGAGCTCAGGGTCCATTCTGGTCTTCTATCCCATCCTGGCAGTTGGCTGGCGCTGTGTTGATTGTCGACATTGTCGCCACCTGTTTCACCTTGTTCGGTTGGTGGTCCCAGAACTGGACTGACATCGTTACCGTTGTCAGAACCTGGATCTGGTCTTTCGGTGTCTTCTGTGTCATGGGTGGTGCTTACTACCTTATGTCTGGTTCTGAGGCCTTCGACGACTTCTGTAACGGCAGAAAGAAGTCTCACTCTCCAGACCACAGATCCCTCGAAGACTTCATGGTCTCCATGGCCAGAGTCTCCACTCAGCACGAGAAGTCTTCTTAAGCTGGTTACACAGCATAGAGAAGGTTTCTACAAACTATCATTCCCCCCATTTTTTTATTTGATTCCCCGATTATTCCCGTCGTCATTTTGAGATTAATTTCGTATTATAGTACAAGTAATAGATAATGATTAAAACTAGAGCTGTAGAGGCAAAAATTGGGGCTAATTTTCAATGGGCAGCGAAATGCGCAGACGACAGTACAAAGCAGTTTTGCGATGGGCATCGGCTGCACAGGAACCCAGTGCGACCTGTAGTGAAAAAAAGGTAATACAATAACACTGCAAACAATAGCAAACACACATGGCCCGATGCCGCTAAAAGTAGCGTCGGATGCACCGGAGTGTGGCATTCAGTTTTATGTCGTTTAAAATAAATCTGCCGCATACCGCCCTGTAGCTTTTTGCGTACCGCTATTGCCGAAAGGAAATGTCGCTCTGATAAGAGCTGGCACAGTAGTAACAAGCGAGGATGTGGAGAAAAAGTACGGGCTGACTAGACTATCTTGGTTTTCCTGAATTCAAGACACGTTGTTCCTGCTATAGAATGAGCTGGACAATGGTTCTGGACCATGGTACTTACACCTGACCAATGGGCAATTTTGCGCACTTTTTTGGAAATTTCGGGGCTTTCAAGGTCGTCCCGAACCTTATCTGCTAGTGCACGCCCGTCTACTTTGCCGCCCAAGCATGTCGATAAAAAACTCCTCGAATAAACGTACCGTCCTGTGGAGATCGGGCTTGATCTGCGGGGGGTGTTTAGGTTGCTTCTTCGTTTCTATTGTAGACTTTGTAACGAACGCATGCATAGGGCTTAAATTCGCTGCTTGTGACCTTTGCCAGGCTCGAAGCTTAATGGTGCCACCATGGGAACCTTTTTTTCCGGCTTGCTTATGGCTAAATGGAAAGACTGTTTTTTTCCGGGAAGTTTGATATAAATTTAGTTTGCTTTCCGTAGCCCCATTTGGCATATATGGAAGGTTTCCAGGCGTCGCTATGGACAATGCAGTAGAAGGCTTTGTAGAGTCCGCTAGACAGTCATGGGCTTCCTTCACTCTTCCGACGGAGATATCAATTAAGCTTTCACAGAACGATCCTTAACGTGTCGTTGCTCATTGGTAACGCTACCAATACTAAGTTGAGCGGTTGTGCTACCAGACAAGCTTTGAGAGACGCAAAGATAAGGTACGGCGAGTTTCACCAAAAGACTAATGGAATACGATTTGAGTGTAGAGCTGAAATGCTGTTTCTTGTTCTGGCCTCGTATGGAAAATCACCCTAGGCTGGTTAGAGGCCACACGAGCTTTATATGTCGAAGAGTTTCTTGTGTGGCCACAGCGGGGCGAATGACGTCTATATGACACCACTAAGAACGACATTTGGGGAGGACGGGCGTTGTAGCGCAGTGTGAGTTCTGTTTCTGCTTTCACTATAGTGGCTCACGGAACTCGATTGAGGACGTCAGTGAATCTTACTCATAACTTCCAGAGAAGCCTCGATTGCAGCCAACGGGCAAGTAGCCACAAGTGGAGCTTGTGGATTTCGGTTCGTGAATACCTTCAGCTTCTCTTTCACGAAGTGTTTGCAAAGAGAGCTCCATCACTCTTGATTCACTTCCTCTTCCACCACAGTGAGGCATTAGCCACACGGCATTTACCAAGCAACTCTGAAGGCCCCGTGTTCATTATGACCACGATGAACAAAATACGGATAATGAGTTGATGACACCATTTCAATCAACTTTCCTGTTGTGGTAAGCAATGGCTCCCACTGTTGTCTTGGCCAGGCTTGGAAAAGTCTGGATGAATGGCATCAACAGCCTCTTACCTCTTGAGGAACCTACGACAACACCCCTTGTACGTCTTCGGATAAGAAAAGAATTTGAGGCATGACTTGCTGCGTGTAACCATGTAGGGTGCTTCTGAATTCTTATCCCTTTTTTGATCCAGTCTCTTCATAAATCTCCACGCGTTCTCAAGAAGTGCCATTATCTTGTCTCCCCAGTCTGCTGATTTCGCAGCCAAAAAGCCAACGACAATGGCACACCCCAAACCCAACAAATCACAACCTTTCCTCTTTAAAATTGAAAAAAGATTGTAAATACAACCAATTCTATTCAATACAAAAGAATTTATCAAAAAAGCATCACAACTATTCCTTGGTTGCCCCCGACTTTGTCGCACGAAGGTGCTCTTTTCTTCCGCAGCGTCCAACTACGTCTGAGATCAGGGCGAAAAAATTCCTCACTAAGTCTCTTTCTAGTCAGCTTGATCGACTGAAACTCCACGCTAGACGGGTCACGCCGGCCGATTTCATCTCAAATTTCCAAGAGGCATTCAAAAAAACATTCGCCTGGCCATTTTACTTCGCTTTATCCCGTCATCACCCCCATCAATTCCATCATTCAGTGGTCTTTCTGATTACTCCTGGTGGAGCAAGAACACCGTCTAATCCACGATAGTCACAACCATCCCGTCATATTGCATTTCATTGTACACTAGCTGCCGCCTAAATCACCAAAGGTAGCATACTTTGCATCGTTGTATATTAGAACCTTTGTACATTAGTGAAACCCATCACCACCCCTATCACCATACTTGACCATGTCAACCAACTTGCAATCCCGTTCTGCATCCGTTTCTAACGGCTCAGGATCAAACAAGTCTACCGGGTTGCGCTCAGCATCTATTGGAAGCTCCAACTTCTTTAATAAGGACGGGCTGTCCTTCTTCAACTTGGATCATTCTGGCTCTGCCGATGATCTGTTGCCTGAAATCAAGGAAAAAGCCTTCACTCAAGAAACTCACGTTCCATCGGAGTTGGATATTGTTGGTGCTCTCGGAACTTTGAACTTGGACGAGGACTTCGAAGAGGGCAGTGGCCCTAAAAGCCCAAACTCCTCAACTTCTTCTAAGGAACCACCAAAGTCATCCACACCATTTGCTCAACCACAGATTTTGCAGAATGTCATGGCCCCTCACCCCCCTCCAAATCACCAGGGCTCCTTGACTCCTCAACCTGCCCCTGTGACAGGTTTTGGATCTGCCTCTGCTGTGCCAGCTTCTTTGAACACCACTCCGTCAAATTCATGGAGTAATGTGTACGTGCCACTTTCTGCTCCTCCATTTGCTTTCCCTGTTGAGGACAAATCTGCCGAAATGGCCATGCGTGTCACCCCTCTCGAGCTTCCAGATGGAAAGCCCGAGGATGCTCAGTTGAATCCTGGAGCAGGTCTCACTCATGCCTCCGGCAATGAAGCTTCTGGTCCTCAGCAAGGGATGATGAATATGTCTCCTCAACCTTTGCATCCCCTTGGTGGAGTCTTGGATTCTCGATTTGCGTTTGGAAACTTCTTCAATATGTCTGGTATGAACTTTAATCCTGACAGCCAGGTTAGCGGCGAGAAAGACAATCAGTCATTCCCAGAAGGCGCGTCTATCAAAGACAAGAAGAATCACCTGCCCTTCGATGTTGCTGGCTCAGATCCATCTGCGCTTCCTCATATGGGTATGCCTACAATGTGGAACCAACATCCCCAATTTGTCAACCCTCAATTTCTTTCTGGTAGAGGCCAAAATGTTGATGCTCGTATGATGCCTAGCCCTATCGGGCAGTTCGAAGGCGGCCAGCCCAACTTCGTAAATGCCAACACCCAAAATCGTTTTAAAGACAATGGGTACTCGAACTATCCCAACAACTCTCTCGGATCAGTGAACCCTGGAAACAACCAACAAAGGAATCATAGCGGAAACCACGGAAGTTCGGGAAATTATTCTAACCGTCGGAACTACAATATGAGCTCCGGTGTCAACGTTCACCGAAAGATGCACAACTCCAACAGAAGAAAGGGCGACGATGCGTCGAAGTATGCAAATGCTAAGTTGGAAGACTTTACGGGCGACATTTACTCATTGTGTAAGGACCAGCATGGCTGTCGCTTCTTACAAAGGCAGTTGGATTTGGGAAAGGAGGCCGCCCAGAAAAATAATAAGGGCGGTGCTTTGATGACTAATGATGTTGCTGCAACTGTAATTTTTAATGAGATCTATTTAAAGGTTGTTGAATTAATGACCGATCCTTTCGGGAATTATTTGATCCAAAAGCTTGCTGAAAATGTGTCCCCCGATCAAAGACTCATCCTTGTGAAGAATGCCGCGCCTGAATTTGTGAGGATTGCTTTGGACCCTCACGGAACCAGGGCTTTGCAGAAGCTCGTTGAATGCATCTCAACTCCGGAGGAGATCCAACATGTCATCGAAAGCTTGGCGCCTCACATTGTGACTTTGTCGAGAGACTTGAACGGAAACCATGTCGTGCAAAAGTGCTTGCAGAAGTTAAGTCCCGACCATAATCTGTTTATTTTTGACACAACATCAGCCCACTGTACCGATATTGCAACCCACAGGCATGGCTGCTGTGTCTTGCAGAGATGCTTGGATCACGGAAATGACGACCAGCGCAAACAGTTGTCTCTAAAGGTTGCCGAGAATGCGACCAGATTGGCTTCTGATCCGTTTGGTAATTACGTCGTACAATATGTACTTTCAAGAGGCGATGCAGAATCGATCGAGATCATTTTGGATCACATCAAATCCAACATCATCGCCTTGTCGCTCCATAAATTTGGGTCTAATGTGATTGAAAAATCCTTGAGAATCGATGCTTTGACTGATCGCGTTATGGAGGTTCTTTTGAATAAGAGCGACAAGTTCCCTCTGTTGTTGAATGATCCTTATGGCAACTACGTACTTCAGACAAGTTTGGATGTCGCAAGCAGCACGGACTTAGCAAAGTTGGCGATATCTTTGCAACCACTCTTGCCAGGCATCAAAAATACCCCACACGGCAGACGCATCATGACTAAGATTCAGAATATTCTCTAGCGATGCCTCGCAGCTCGAAAAACCTCTCGGTGCTTTCGCTAGCATACGCATATACCATATTAGAAAACAATACGATTTCGTGTATGATAGTAGATATGAACCCTGACCCCACGGGATTTAGGGAAAGCTGGACCGGTTATTGTCTACTTGATGTATGTACTGCAGGTGACAGATTCTGGAGGCAGACGCTTCGTACTACTACTTACGGCTTTAATCAGAAAAAAAAAACGTATAAAGATATCTTCCAAGTCTTTCCCATTTTAGATCGGTGAATGTACAATAGCTGACTGAATGAAGAAAACTGATAACATCTCCAAACCCAAGATCAAGAAAAGGAAGTACTCGAGAAAAGGATGCAACGAATGCAAGAGACGAAAAATCAAATGCGATGAAGCTGCTCCAGCTTGCAACAACTGCACGAGGCTCAATAAGACTTGTATCTATGAGAACAAGACGAAGACTCAGCAAGATCCCTTGGTGGCGAAGTTCGCTCAGGCTAACGAGCCACCCGTGAAGGAGAAGAACTTGAACTTGAAGTTCTACAAGCCAAAGACTCCAAAATCCACCAGAAAGGAAGAAGCCAAGGTCGAGACTCCAAAAAAACCATCGCAGAGTTTCGTTGACAATTCGGACGACAACAGCAACAATACCTTTCCCAAGATCGAGGGCATGGATACTCCGATCTTACCTGTCCTCACTTCTATTCCCCCCGAAGCTCCCTCGAGCATGGTGTCGAGTAACGAAACGAATTACGAGATGCAGACTGTTTTCAACGAAGCCAGTTTGCTTGTTAATGACATAAACCATATGCTAGAGGATAATTATGATGTGCATCATCAAAACGAGAGAAACGCTTTCAGAAGGACCCATGCCAGCCCTTCCATGTCGTCGGAAGACCGTACACAGTTCAGTATCGAAGACTTTGTTGATTTGAATGACCAAATGGACGGAAGCCCCCACCTTCCTTGGAATAAAGCTGCGGAGATTTGGGAAATCCTGAACTCTCAGCTTATAGAGGAATGTGTAACAGCGAACAACTTGGGTGAACCCCATTCAGGCTACTTACGAACATTGACTTCCACCGAGCTTTCGTACCACATGTACCCGCTCGCATCACTGATCGAAACGAATGAAGTTGTGAAACTTTTACTCATGTACCTGAGCGAATGCCCACATCTTTTGTTTTCACTTTTGGCAATCTCAGCCACCTTTCAATTCAACCAAACGGGCAGATCAAGCCATGATATCGCTCGTCAAAAGTACATTGGCGTGTGTCTCCGCAAATTGAGTGATGACTTCTCGGAGAAACCAGCTTCAAAACTGTCGCAATCCTTCCATGTCGAGAAGCTTTTGATGACTGTGTTGGTATTGACCACGTACTTCAGTGCAACTACATCACTGTTGAACGATACAGTGCTCAACTCATGGAAGGTCCATCTTAGAGGAGCTCGTGACCTTTTAATTAATTACAGCAGAATCACCAAATCTTCTGATTGTGTTTCGCTCGGGCTTGCCCTAGCGAAATCGTGGTTCTTCGCCTTAGAGTCTGTGGCCGCTGTCTTTTCTTCTGTTGGCGGTGCTACAGCAAAGTCTTACGATGCTCCCACACTAGACAATGACGATTTGTTCGGCTCTTTCCCGAACTTACCACTAGACACTAATACAGTTTTTGTTGAGAGTGGCTTTTTTGAATTCCATGAAAACAGAAACTACCATGAATCACTAACAAGACTCGCCATGGTGGTCACCAGTCCCACCCTGTCCGATTTTAATATATTCTGGGGATACACAGCCACCTGTGTCAAGGCGATTGTCTGCTACACTAGGGTAAAAAATGCTATGGATATCAAGAACTTGGAACGGGCGCCAATAAGGTGGATTGCACAAATTGTCTCGCTTCTTGGCCAAACCGGCAGAGAGGAGGTGGTGCCTGGAGTACTGCCTCGAAATTACCTAATTCCCAAGACTTGTAAAGGACATCCAGATTTTGAGCCCCAGACACAGCGGTATAATTTCCCACCCGCTTGTTACGCTGTGGATACAGATGAAAATGGTACCAAGACCTACTATTCGTGGTTCGATGCCTCAAACCAGTTCCATGTTGATTTCTTGCACCTCCTGCTACTTGTACTGTCGGAGTTTTACGCCCTTCCCCGAACACACTTCCATGTACAAGAGATGGTTCAGCGAATTTTCACAGGTGCTTTTTTTATGAAAGAAAAGCTGTCGCCGCTATACGAGAGAGATAAGCCGGATGTGATAGTTGAGAGTGACAATTATTATGTGTCCCTGTCTACGTTTGACAATAGGTGCATAATGATCCAGTCGGCGTTCCGGCTATGTGCAAGCGTTGTTGTCGAGGAGGAGTATTTTGAAAAGATTGAATTGTTTTTCATGGGTCTTGTGAAGCTAGGCAATGGATCCTCGCTCAATGCTTTGGACCAGGTGACAAGGATAAAAGAGATCAGGAGAGAGAGAAGGCAGGAAAACCCAGATCTCATTGACGAAGAGGTGATTGAATTTGAAGAAGGAAAAGCTTCGATTCCGTTTGCTTAGTTCCACGTGCTGCAAATCGATTTTTGCTTTGGCATTGTACGAGGTACCTCTCGGATCAGCCTGTAACCCGTCGTTCCTTTGCAAGCAGCGAGCGTCCTATACGAAATCGACCGCGTTTTCCTTCTTGTTTCTGGCAGAAAGCTGCATTCCTGTCGTACAACTCCGCTGAACCTGCACACGGTATTGGGCCCTTTACAGACTAAATGCGCGACAGCCTCAACGGAATAAATACCCAGTGAATAGCCCGTCAATTTGTTAGCTGGTATTTTAGGTATTCCTATTCAATTGAAACCATGGCGAGAAAGAGTAACCAGGAGAAGGACACACAGACTGTTCCCCACGGCTATCTTGCACCTGAGGCCGTCGAGTGGGAATTTGGTGGCCCGATCGGTGCCTTTGGCATGATGACGGGCTTCCCTCTTTTGATGATCTATATGTGGATCAGTGCTGAATTCTACAATGGAAAGCCAGCATGGCCTACTAAGGGCCAGAGCTGGGATGACTTTCTTTTGTTGCTCTGGAAATTGTTTGTGGCCCATGGTGTGCCCTCATTTACTTCGTGGGCTCTCTTCACCACCTTCTTTGTTGTGCAAGCCTTCTTTTACTTGACCTTGCCTGGTGTTTGGACTAAGGGTCAGCCATTGACTCACTTGAAGAACAAGCAATTGCCTTACTACTGCAACGCTGTGTATGCTTTCTACGTCACAAACATTGTCGTGTTGGGATTGCACGCTGCCGGTTACAAGTTGTACTACATCATCGACCACTTTGGTGAGATCATGGTCACTGCAATCGGCTATGGTCTTTTCTTCTCTGTGGCCTTGTACCTTTACTGTCTTTACGTCTCTAAGGACTACCACAGAATGACGGGCAACCACATCTACGACTGCTTCATGGGTGCACCATTGAACCCAAGAATTGGCAAGTACTTGGACTTGAAAATGTTCTTTGAGGTGAGAATTCCATGGTTCACTTTGTACTTCCTTTCTCTTGCTACCGCCTTGAAGCAGCTTGACACCTACGGCTACGTCTCAACTCAGGTCGTTTTCGTTGTTTACGCTCATTGGCTCTATGCCAACGCCTGCTCCAAGGGTGAAGAGTTGATCGTTCCAACATGGGACATGGCCTATGAAAAGTTTGGTTTTATGTTGATTTTCTGGAACATCGCTGGTGTGCCATACACTTACTGCCACTGTACTTTGTACCTTGCCCACCACGACCCATCTGAGTACAACTGGTCCCTCCCATACAACGTTGCCTTGTTCGCCATTTTGACTATTGCTTACTTTTTCTTCGACACTGGTAACAGACAGAAGAATAGTTTCAGAAGAATCATGGCCGGTAACAGCTCGCTTAGAAAAACCTTCCCATACTTGCCTTACTCCGACCTCGAGAACCCAAGCTACATCAAGTGTGCCAATGGTTCTCTTTTGTTGACTGATGGCTGGTACAAGTATGCTCGTAAGGCACACTACACTGCCGACTACACCATGGCTCTCACTTGGGGTGCTATTTGTGGCTTCGGCTCACCATTCCCATGGTTCTTCCCTGTTTTCTTCTTCATCGTGTTGGTTCACAGAGCTTTGAGAGACCAGAGAAAGTGTGCTAAGAAGTATGGCGCTGACTGGGACAGATACCTTGAGGCTTGTCCTTATATGTTCATCCCATATGTTATTTAAATAGCGTTCCTCGTTCGGAACTAGAAATTAAAAGTTTACTGCTGTTCATGGTATGATTTATTGTAGGTCATGTATCGTACACTTGTGGATCGTTAGTCTAATTCTGCAATTGCAACCAACCTTTCATCAATCTCATCTGGAGTCAAAACACGGAATTTATCTTGAGTGGCAACACCAATCTCGATGTCATTCTTTCTGAAGTCCGTACCCAACACGGAACTCAATGCGGTAATCGCAAACTCGACATTGGCTTTCCAATCTCCCTTGACGTGGTCAATCTTTTTGAACTTCTTCTCCAAGTACGTCGTAGCTTCTTGCTGCTTTGGTCCTGTGGAAACAGCCTTGACTCCCGTATAATATCCAGCAGGGTCACACTTGAAGATCTGTGGTCCACGGCCCTCATCCTCAAAGTCAACCTGACAGAATGTCAACGCAACTCCAAGAGGTCTCATGTAAGCTCTCTGCGTATATAATTGAGACATGTTCGCCATTCTCTTTGCAATACTCTGGACTGGCATTTCATAGCCATACTTGTATCTGAATTCAGCTGCCTCCGCTCTGGCTCTCAAAGCCAAGTTTCTGGCGTCAGCAATGGAACCGGTGGCCAACATACCAATTGAGGGGGTGATTTGGAATAAGTAGGAAACGGTCGAAGAATCTAAGAGCTTATCTGAAACCTTCTTTTGAGAAATCAAGACAGCAGAGTCCTCACCGACAACTCCAATGGAAGTAATGCTGGCCGAGTTGATAGCTTTGAAGGCGTACTCGACTTGGTATAATCTCCCTTGTGGGGAGAAAATAGTAATGTGTCTATCAAAACCAGCGTCTGAAGTTAGTACTTATTGTGAGCGGAGGGTAATTGGAATTAATGCATACCTGACATGACTTGTTCGAGGCGTTTGAGTGGTTTTCAATTGATTGTAGTGGCAAGGTGAGAGCGATATGTCGTTGAGTTTGGTGGATGTCGCAAAAAAATGTCGTCACTGTTCAGGACTTCAACGATTTGAACGGGCACGGCTACGAAGGGTAATAGATTTAAATCGTTACTTGGAGTAATTTGTGGAAAAATTAAGACCAGATCATATTATTTTGAAAATTTTTACATGGAGTACTTAGTACTGAAGAAACCTAAGACAACCTGAAGACTATCAGAACTCAAACATTATTCTCGAGCCATGTCTCTTCCAAACCAATATGTATGAGAACGATATTTTCATAAATCTTAATAGTTCAGATACTTTCGAAGATAAAGTAAAATACGTCATTCGTACACCGTTGACGAGAATTAAACGGTTCAGCCAGCCGCTGGAATACATCCGTGCACCACAGACATCAAACAAGCATAGTTGAAGATTATTTCCTTTTCAACCCACCACAGCATGTCGAACTCTGAAACGTTTTCGACGGATGTGAAAACTCAGGAACACACTCCCCTATATTTTCCGCAACGACAGTCAGCATTCAGAATTGTATCCTATCACTATAATCCAGAAACTTCACGATACCATTATGGTCCTCATCATCCAATGAAACCATTTAGGTTGATGCTTACAGACCATTTGGTCATTCTGTACAAATTGCATGAAAGAATGGATCTATATGAGCCAAGGAAAGCCACAAGAGATGAGCTCCTCGAATTCCATTCGGAAGACTATGTGGATTTTTTGCAGACCATTACCCCAGAGCTAACCGCTAAACTAGGCGAGGAGAAACTTGCAAAGTTCAATATTGGTGACGATTGCCCTATATTTGATGGAATGTATGACTACCTGGGAATGTACGCTGGTGCCTCGCTTGATGCTCTGAGAAAGCTCATAAGCGGCATGAGTGATATTGCTATAAACTGGTCTGGAGGATTACACCACGCTAAAAAATTTGAGCCAAGTGGGTTTTGCTACATCAACGATATTGTGCTTGCTATTCTTAATCTACTACGTGTCCACCCTCGAGTGATGTATATTGATATTGATCTCCATCACGGTGATGGAGTCCAGGAGGCTTTCAACACCACGGATAGGGTCATGACAGTATCTTTTCATAAATTTAATGGTGAGTTCTTCCCAGGTACTGGTGCTATCGATGAAAGAGGCATTGGAAAGGGAAAGAATTACTCTGTCAATGTGCCCTTAAAAGATGGTATCGATGACCACTCCTACATTCATTTATTCAAACTGATCATGGAACCACTTATAACAAAATTCCAACCCACGGTAATTGTTCAGCAGTGCGGCGCTGACTCGCTTGGTTACGACAGATTAGGATGTTTCAACCTAAATATCCGTGCTCACGGCCAATGTGTTAATTTTATCAAGTCATTTGGCATCCCAATGCTAGTGGTTGGTGGAGGAGGTTATACACCGCGTAATGTTTCTAGACTTTGGTGCTACGAAACTTCGGTGTTGAACGATGTTCAGCTCGACTCCAAAATCCCACTGAAAATCCCAACCTATGATTGGTTTGGGCCAGACTTCTCGTTACATCCACAGCTTGACGGTCGCCTAGATAATAAGAATTCTAAGAAATACTTGGAATGTGTCAAAACCGACATCTTGGAGCAGCTTCGCTACCTTAATTATGCCCCATCAGTTCAGATGCAAGAGATTCCTCCAGATATCACTGGTCTCACAGAAGAAGAAGAGGAAATAATCAGAGAGCTTAATGAGGACAAGGATGACGAGAAGACAAGAAAGGCACGCGATATGAAGGATGAAGCTCGACTGGGCGAAGTTATGGCAAGTTAGCTGTGGACTGCCCACTCTCCTAATGACGAAATTTATGAAGACGCCACTCTGCCGTCTCCAATGGAGGCAGACATGCATGTATTATAATCTATAGACTACAAGGGGATATAACGTAGAATGTGTGGATATGCATATTCATCTGGCTATACTTTTTTTTGGGACCAACTACATCACAATTTGCAACTTCCAAGCGAGTCCTGTACGCTCGCGTACGTACTATCACTGCAGGTTTCTGGTTGCAAGCGAGAACTATATGAACCATTTGAACCACAAATAAGAAAATCAACATGGATGTTCTGCGACTAGATATTGTGCTAGATAAGCAGACCAACCGCAAGGTTGTAAACCGACGTTTCCGACTCCTCCAGACGATAGGTCAGGGTCAATTCGGCAAGGTGATACTAGCAGAAGACCTCAGCAAAGACCATGGACTCGTGGCAATCAAGACCATTAATAGAGTTGATCGAGCCAAATTGATAACAAAGACTTATTTGAGTCACACGACAAAGATCAAACGCGAGATACAGATAATGAAAGAGTGTGATCACCCCAATGTGGTGAAGCTTTATCAAGTTATAGACGACCTCAAGTTCGATAAGATCTTGCTAGTGCTAGAGTACTGCAAGTTTGGAGAGATTGACTGGAAGAAGTATAATCACTTCCATGAGAAATATCTAAAAGATGGGAGCAAAGGCATCACGCTAAACAAGATCGTGAGAGACGTTGTCAATGGACTCGAATACCTTCACAGTTACAAAAGAATCATTCATAGGGACCTCAAGCCCTCCAATCTACTTATAAGTCTGGACCGGACAATCAAGATTTCAGACTTTGGAGTGAGCTTGATTCTCGAGAACAACACTAATGATGACAAGGAGCTAGGGAAGACGATGGGAACACCGGCATTTTATGCCCCAGAGCTCTGCCAATTCGTGAACAACAGGCTACTGATGCTAAATGAAGCTGATATGGCACGCTCAAAAGTTGATGCAAGGATCGATATTTGGTCCTTCGGTGTTGTCATCTACTGTCTTTTCTTTCACCAACTACCGTTCGAAGGGCACAACGAATTCAGCTTATTCAAGACGATCGTCAACGGTGAACTCAAGTTCCCACGAACCAGAGAGAGCTCCCATGTGAGGATGGAGGACTTGAAGGAACTAGAGCTTCTCAAGGACCTCATCAAGAGACTTCTCGCCAAGGACCCAAACTCACGTCCCACGCTTTCAGAAATCAAGCAACACAAGTTCACAACTTTTGAATTGACCAGAAAAGAGGCCGAGACATTCTTTAATTTCAACAAGAATATCATTTCGCAGCAAGACCCCTTGGCTGCCGAAGCCTGGGAAGCTGAGAACCGTATGTCCAACAAAATTAAAAGGTTCTTTGGAGCAGGAAGACCTGAAAATGAAATTCCTCCATCGTCGAGACCAATTCTGGTGGATCAGCCAGTACTGCCCGTTAAAGGCATCAATGTTCTTGACCTAGAAAAGGTCGATGACCTATTAGACTCCTACCTTGATGACTCGAGCTCAATGGGATCGCTTTCAGATGAGGAAGGCGGTGCATCAGTCATCGACACCACAAACGTTTTATCGTCAATCAAGTTGGACAGAGAAAAACTACCGCATACTACTTTGAAGAAATCGGATTCCGCACAGCTGAGGCTCTCAAGAAGTTCAGTACCGCCACCTTTGAAGCTTTCATCATCATCTCTCTCAGTCCACAAAGGTGGATCGACTCTGTCGTTTCCACAACCTCCAGCATCGCCCTTCAGCTCCGGTCAGAGAACACCCAGTACTGCCGCAAGTAATACTGTCACAATTGGGGAAGGATCTCCATCGTCGATCAAGTCGATTTTCAGCCCCAGTCGCCGCTTCTTTGCTAAAATCAAGCCGACGATCAATTCGCTTTATTCGCCTACCCATGGGGAAGGAAATACGGCAACCTCATTTTCAGATTTGGCACCCCCGCCATTTTTTGGCCGTTCGGATAGGAGGGGATCGACACTGGAACTGATCAGCAGCGTTCAAAGCACTGGAGGCTTTGGCTCGAGGAAGAATTCCATCAGCTCTACGCGATCGAACGGGTTATCGAAGATCACCAGTTCCAGCTCCCTGTTGAATCTTCACGGCTATCTTACAGATGAAAGCTCCACCTCGTTCAGCGGAAAGTGGCAGAAGGCCGTGGCTCGGGAATTAGGAAGCGAGGATGAGGAAGACAAACACGCACATTCCCTGAGCGATAGCGACGAGGTTGGCGACGAGACTCTAACAATGCTGCCAAACAAGCTGGGAACAATGGACCAGTATCTTGATCGACTCGAAACTAAGCAGGCTTAGTGAGATGTCACAACGAGGGGACGAGTGGGACGGCTGGCGGCTGCAAATAGACGTATGGAAGCGTGCGCGCATATTCCTAACCAGCGCAAGCAACAATGTCTGCAGCGAAGATTGGTGTTGTTGTATTGCCAGATTGGACGTTGGCAGATCCCCGACATTAATTTTTTATGAACGTGAAGTGGTGAAACGCCGATGGGGGAACGCTGCAACCAAGGGGCAATTGCCAAGTCTGGATAATTGACCGAGGACCCTTGGCCTGGTGATGGTTTGCACCGGGGTTTAAGCCGTAAACAAACAGCGCGAGCAACTCAGACATTCCGAGCGCTAAAGTTTGGCGCCCGTTCAGATCAGGCAGGCCGGGGACCACGATCAGAAGCAGAAAAAGCGAAAACAAAGCAACAATAGAGCCTTGAAAGTCATGTCGTGGGGAAGCTCAGGGGTACCATTACGACGAAGGAGATCTTGAAAGAAGAGTTTTCAAAGAGAGCTTCCAACAAGATTGACCAATTCTGTCGCTTGCGTGAGCCCTGGCGCTTTCCTGCCTTGGCCTGGTTTGGTCCCGGTCGCACTACCGTTCAGGCCTGCTTCAGCCCTGAGGCCTGCGCCCTCATGTTTACCTTTCAGCGCGCCCATACCGCCATTTCTGGAGCATCTGCCGACAATAGACCTGAAGGTGTTGCGCTCCCTTGGCTTGCTCATATATACCACCCTGCCGCCGGATCTCAAAATATTTCTCCTTGTGCTGATCAAGCCTGCCGTTTCTCCATCAACATCCCCCTGCGCTGGCCAACCACACCCACCTCCTGCTGAAACCCTCCTACTTCGCAGTTCCCACAGACACCACCCTCTTTTTCCCGTATTATGAAGAATGGCCATGTCTCCAGCCCAGCACACAAGAGGGATATGGTTGAAGAGCCCGACGCAGCCTCGCCTTTAGGTGCCCGCTCCCGCAAGCCCTTTGGCAAGTTGACCAACATCATGAGCACATTGGAGTCTGGTAAGAACAAGCTCCAGCACAGTACCAAGGCCTTCTCAAGATCCATGTCTCAAATATCCCGCTTCTCCGACTTGAGTGTCTTTGACGGCCCCAGCTCGGGCACGCGAGACCTCGCCGACGGTGAAACAACGGATGAAGACACCAGCAACGACACCACTTTGAACGATGACGACTTTCTCTGCTCCCCCCTGAACAAGCCCCAGCGCAGAGCACCACGCTGCAAATCGTCCCAGGTATCACTACCGCAAAACCTTCTGATCAGGAGGACTCAATCGTGCATTCAAGATCCCAACGTTACCGATATGTTCGACGGAAGCGAGTGGCTCCCACAGACAAACCTCAGAACATTCCGAGTATCCAGTGACTTATTGCCTCGGATCGACGAAAATGAGATGCAAAAGATTGTCCTGGGCCATTACCGTAATGAGTTCGACGACTACGTTGTTGTCGACTGCCGATTCCCCTACGAGTTTGACGGAGGCCATATCGTCAATGCCATCAACATCTCGTCTAAGACTGATTTGGAGATGCGCTTCATCAACAACCGTCTGCTGGAAAACCGCAAGAGACTCTTGATCTTCCACTGTGAATACTCCATTTTGCGTGGCCCTACAATGGCCGGTCATCTTCGGAAGGCTGACCGCATCCACAATTCCGAGAATTATCCCAAGCTACTATACCCCGACATCGTTGTCCTCGAGGGAGGCTACAAGAAATTCTTCGACAACCACAAGGAATGGTGCGTTCCTCAGGCATACGTCGAAATGAAAGACATCAAACATAAGCGTACCTGCGAAGTGGAGATGAACAAAGTCATGCAAGCATCAAAGCTCACCAGAGCTCGTTCATTCAACCATTTTCAACTGCATTCTACGAGCCACTCTCGTTCGTCATCCTTCACGGCACTCCTTACATCGTCCGAACAGGCTACTTCTCCCGGCCTCACAACTTCCTTAAGCACCGGACAAGTACCCAGGCGTAAAACAGCTTCAAAGGTCCACAAGAGGCAAGACCGCAAGGAACTTAGGCTTCATCTTTCTCAGCCTCTGATCAATTGGCCCTCTCAGCTGTCAGAGTCGTCCTTGACTTCTGAACTTACTCCAGGGATGTCCTCCTGTTTTGACGACGATGCATTTGCTCCACCTTCTGCTTTGTTTAGGGAACACAGCAAGAGCCTGTCATTACTGCTGGCCTCCATACATTCTTCAGCGCTGCTGGTCTGTTCTGAAACCTATTCTTCCGCATATACTTCCACCGATTCATTGGCCTCATCTCCGTCTGCTGACTCTCCAGAATATTTTGAGACTGCCACCTCGAACTCGAATCCTTCATTAGCTCACATGTTTTCCCTCCAGAATTCCCCATACCTGTTCCCAGGACCAAGCTCTTCAAAGTCAAAGAGACCCTCGCTACAAAGGCCCGTCTACCGCACACCAAGACCATATGTCAATATGTCTTCGCCAACGACGAGTTCCCCACTTACAACTACCGCTGCTGGGTCTGTATTTGACTCTTGGCCAGGACCAAGCTTCCAATCAGATCCCATTAATGAAACACCACTTCCTTTCTCACTCAAGCAGCATGCTCACCACAGCTCGGAGATCTACGAGGAAGATGAGGAGTCTGAATGAAGGATTTGCTAGATTTGCATGCACCAAACAATCATATGGTCACAATTTACTAAAACTACATTGGCATCGAAACGTAACTAATAAATTTGAAAGATATTTCTCATCGTAAAAAAATAAATAGACCCTAAACCACTTACAAGTTTGGCTTGTCAGTAACCAACTTGATGGCGGCGTTGTTGATAGCAATGGTCTTTCTCTCAACAACGTGGGTCTGGAAGATGACAGTGTCACCGTCCTTCCAGGCGAAGACTCTCAAGGTCTCACCTGGGAAGACAATGCCGGTGAATCTACCCTTGATCTCGTCGAAGAGGCCGAACTCATCCAACAAGACCTTGGCAGTCAAACCGTAGGTACACATACCATGCAAGATTGGGTTCTCAAACTTGGCACCCTCAGCGAAGGCTGGGTCAATGTGCAATGGGTTTCTGTCACCAGTCAATCTGTAAAGAGCGGCCTGGTCATCGGTGGTGTGGATGTCCTTGGTGAAGATTGGCTCGGTCTTTGGAGCAATGAACTGGGTGGTGGCGAAAGTCTTTCTCTCGTTGTACACCTTGGTGTCACCCTCACACTTTCTGATGAAGAGAGTGGCCTCGTTGGAGAAGAGCTCCTCACCGGTAGACTCGTCAACAGACTTGGAACCGTGCACAACAACAGTGTTGGTACCCTTCTGGGTGACCTCCAATGGGTAGTAGGAAGTCTTGACGGAAGCCTCAATTGGGATTGGGAACTTGTTGATCTTGATGTAGTGCTCACCGTGCAACAAGAGCATAGGGTTGAAGTTTCTCAACAATCTGGAGAAGGTAACCTGCGACTTCACAGTGTTGAAGGTTGGCAAGTGGCAGAAAGTTGGGATGACCTGGAAGTCAGAGTCGTTCTCGTAGACGTACTTCAACTCCTTACGGTGGGAACCGACACCGAGGTTGTACAAGATGACGTCTCTGTCGTTCCAGCTGAAGATTGGGTCTGGCATCTTAGCTGGGTCCTCGTCGTCATCTTCCTCCTCTTCCTCGACGTCCTCATCTTCCTCGTCCTCATCGTCATCGTCGTCGCCGACAGCGGACAAGATGGCCATGGAAGACTCAGTGGTAGAGGCTGGGTTCTCGGTACCAGAGGAGAAGTCGGTGATCTCACCGATGTGCTCCTTGATGAACTCAGCGGTGGTGACAGCGTCCTTGCTGACAGCACCCTTGGCTCTCTGCCATCTGGTCTTACCGATCCAGCCACCGCCACCTTCGAACAACTCACCGGTGACAGGAACCTGCTCGGAAGCCAAGAAGATCAACAATGGAGCGACCAACTTAGGTGGGTACAAGTTCTTGTCGGACTCCTGGAAGATGGTCAAGGTCATGGCAGTCTCGGCGTGAGGAGCAACGACGTTAGCCTTAATGTTGTTCTTAGCACCCTCGATAGCAATGGTTCTGGTGAAACCAATGATGGCAGCCTTGGCGGTGGCGTAGTTAGCCTGACCGAAGTTACCGTAGATACCAGAAGTGGAGGTAATGTTGACAACTCTACCGTACTTCTTGTCGAGGAAGTGTGGCCAAGCCAATCTGGTCAACTCGAAGGTACCGTTCAAGTGCACTTTTTGGACGAGCTGCCATTCCTCGTAAGACATCTTGGCAAAAGATTTGTCTCTCAAGATACCGGCGTTGTTGACCAAGATGTCAATGGTACCGTACTTGCCGACAACATTGTCAATGATCTCCTTGGCCTGGTTGGCAACATCGTGGGTGTCACCGTGAGCCTCACCGCCAGCAGCCTTGATCTCCTCAACGACCTTAGATGGGTCCTTGAAGTCGTTAACGACAACCTTGGCACCCTTAGCAGCGAAAGCCAAAGCGTAGTCTCTACCCAAACCGGCACCAGCACCAGTGATCAAGACGACTCTGCCCTTCAAAGACACCTCAGGAACACCAGAGTTGTCGTTTGGAGGAAGCTGCTTAGCCTGGTTGGCAAGCACACCGTAGTTGTTGATCATGAATGGGTGAGAAACCTGCAAGTCCTCAGGTCTGCCAGCATCGTCGAAGCTGGTGATCTCGTCGAATCTCTTGGCAACAGACTCTGGGGTGAAAGAGTCATCTGGCTTGAACAAAGCACCACCAGATCTCTCCCAACGGATCTGGCCGAAGAAACCAGCGGCAACCTCGAAGATCTGACCAGAGATTTCCTCGTTGTCCTCAGAGGTCAAGTACAAGACCAATGGAGCGATCTTCTCAGGACCCAACTGCTCCAAGATAGGAGGAGGCAAGACAGACTCGGTCATTCTAGATCTAGCCAAAGGAGCAATGGTGTTAGCCTTGATGTTGTACTTCTCACCCTCCTTGGCCAAAGTCTCAGCGAAACCAACCAAACCCATCTTGGCGGCAGAGTAGTTGGCCTGGCCGAAGTTACCGTACAAACCAGCTGGGGAGGCAGTGTTGATAATTCTTCCGTAGCCCTGCTTGCGGAAGTGTTCCCAGGCGGCCTTGGTCACCTTGTAGGCACCGTTAACGTGCACGTCAATGACCAATTGGAAGTCCTGAGGAGACATCTTCTTGAATTGAGCGTCACGCAAGATACCGGCGTTGTTGATGATAACGTGGACGGTACCGAAGTTCTTGACAGCGGTCTCAATGATCTTCTCACCTTCGAGAACGTTGTTGTAGTCAGCAACGGCGGTACCACCAGCCTTTCTGATCTCCTCGACAACAACGTCAGCGGCTCTGGAGTCACCACCCTGACCGGAGAGAGAACCACCCAAGTCGTTCACGACAACCTTGGCGCCTCTCTTAGCGTACTCCAAACAGTAGTACTTACCCAAGCCACCACCGGCACCGGTGACGACCACGACTTTGTCTTTGAAAGAAATGGACATGATTGATTAAGAAACAGGAACTGGGTTGGTGTTTCTTGTTACAGCGGAAGGAGAAAAAAGGTTGCCTAGGGGTGGAAAATTGGCGCTATATATTGTGGATTTTTGCGGGGTGAGCGCCTGTGAAGTTTCCCCGGAAAGACCGAGGTATGCAGGCCCTTCATATCCCACTTCGCAGCCAGATCCGTGGCGCCCCTAGTGGTGACGAAACCAGCATGCACCTGATGACATTGAGCCGATTTCAACGGGGATTTTGCTACTTTTTTTTCATGGGAAAGAGGCCGCCGGAGCCTGGCTTGAACGAGGTGGGAGGTACGGGTGTCCCCTGATTTCCCCAGGTGTGGTTTGGCAAAGCATGTTCCCGAGGGCCGAGCACGCCATAAGACCTCGGTTGGGCTGACACCCGTACACCCGCTTTATCCTGGCACCATATGCGGAGGCCACAAGCTCACTTATGGAGCCGTTCTGTCAGAGGAATAGTAATCGCTTGCACCTTACCGCCGCGGCCTTAACTCCTCCAATGGGGTACGGAAAGTTGGCGGAGTAAGTTTAGATTATAAAGTTTGAGGATCCGGGGCAATTGGCAGCACCCCTGGTTAGCCAGCGGATTTAAATTGTATTTCATGTAAAGTGACTGAAAAATGCGGGCACCCCATTGGTATCCGTGGTTCGTCAACTGGTTTGCAATCGCTGCGCAACGGTTGAGAAATGGTGGAAAGAAGCCGATCCTCCATCCGACACAATTGCACCTCTACATTTTTTTGACTTCTACACCTGGTTAAATCCGGCTTCCATAGACGAGCTTATCCCCATCCACCGTGAAAACTGTCAATGCCCAATTGTTGCTCGTCACACCACACGCCTTTGTCCCCAGGGTCCCATTCCTCGCCTGCCCTTTGTGTGATCCATGTGACAAAGGAGACGCAATCTCTGCGCCGGCGGCAGAATGCTTTATTCAGGGTATAAAACCTTTCTCCTCTGCCTCCGGTAAAACTGCAACTTTTTCGATTTTTCGCCCCATCCTGTTATCCACGGCTCCACAACCCCCCATGCCTCGCTTGTTACCCAATTGATCTTGGCGAGGCCTCAACGGTTGGGAGCGCTCTGGCGCTTTTGGGCCAATGCAGGCGCAACCTGTGGAGGATGCTGTCCCTTCTTGCATTCTGGCGGCCTGCCTCTACAATTTGCAGCCAGTTCGGCCCATCTTTTCATGATACTCAGGTTTCCACCTGTTTCTTCCCCACGGCCCATTCACCATCTCCTGCCGCCCAATTGGAGCCCTCCAGGCCACGGCACTGGAAACCTGTACACCATACCCGTTTCGTCCTGTCTGCCCCGGCCAAAATGTTTCCCTTTTGGTGAACCCCCGTAGAACTTCTGAAACAGGCCCTCCTCCCACCCACTCGTCAAGCTGAATCAATCTCTCTCTCAAGGCATGCCTGAAGTCCAATCTTCGGGCAACTCGCCTCTGCATGATGCTAATTCTTCGAGGCCCTCGGCGTTCCCTGCTATGGAGTACAAGCCCTTCACTCGCACTCAGATCTGGCTCTATGATCTCTTGCTCTGGCTCTGGACGGTCATTTTCGACTGCTTTTTCAGGGAAATCAGACCCAGAGGCGCTTTCCGCTTACCCAAGTCCGGGCCTGTCATCTTTGTGGCTGCCCCTCATGCCAACCAGTTCGTGGACCCTATTGTGTTGATGCGCCAGGTCAAGCGGGAAGCCGGAAGACGTATTTCGTTCCTCATTGCCATGAAATCGTATCTTCACAACATCATTGGTACCTTCTCCAAGGCACAGCTTGCTGTTCCGGTTGCGAGAGCCCAGGACATGTTGCGTCCTGCCACAGGCAAGATCTACATTGATGTCGCTGCAGACCCATTGAGGGTCAAGGGCAAGGGCACCAAGTTTACCGAGGAATGCATGCCTCGCGGTCTCATAGCCCTTCCGCTGTCGCTTGGAGCAACCGAGATCTCCGAGATCGTCTCGGACACCGAGATCATCCTTCGTAAGGAGTTCAAGTCCACCCAGAAAGTCAAGCAGCTCTTGCAACAAGGCACTCGCTTCAAGGTTGCAGACAAGATTGACCAGGGGCACGTATACAAGTTTGTGTTCCAGCACTTGAGTGCTGGCGAATGCTTGGGCATCTTC